CGATCAACAATGACGTCTGATGGAACACCAATTACAACCATTGGATCAACAATGACGTCTGATGGAACACCAATAACAACCACTGGATCAACCATGACGTCTGATGGAACACCAATAACAACCAGTGGATCAACCATGACGTCTGATGGAACACCATTAACAACCAGTGAATTAACAATGACGTCTGATGGAACACCAATAACAACAACTGGATCAACTATGACGTCTGATGGAACACCAATAACAACCAGCGGATCAATAATGACGTCTGATGGAGCACCAATAACAACCATTGGGTCAACCATGACAACTGATGGAACAACCTTAACAACCAATGAGTCAACCATGACGTCAGATGGAACACCAAGAACAACCATTGGATCAACCATGACCTCTGATGGAACACCATTAACAACCAATGAGTCAACCATGACGTCTGATGAAACACCAATAACAACCAGTGGATCAACCATGACGTCTGATGGAACACGAATAACAACCAGTGGATCAACCATGACATCTAATGGAACACCAATAACAACCAGTGGATCAGCAATGACGTCTGATGGAACACCAATAACAACCAGTAGATCAACCATGACATCTGATGGAACACCAATAACAACCACTGGATCAACCATGACGTCTGATGGAACACCAATAACAACCACTGGGTCAACCATGACAACTGATGGAGCACCAATAACAACCAGTGGATCAAAAATGACGTCTGATGGAACACCAATAACAACCATTGGATCAACCATGACGTCTGATGGAACAATAATAACAACCACTGGATCAACCATGACAACTGATGGAACAATAATAACAACCACTGGATCAACCATGACATCTAATGGAACATCAATAACAACCAGTGCATCAACCTTTCCATCTGATGGAACACCAATAACAACAAGTGGATCAACAATGACGTCAGATGGAACACCAATAACAACCACTGGGTCAACCATGACATCTAATGGAACACTAATAACAACCAGTGGATCAACAATGACGTCTGATGGAACACCAATAAGATCAACCATGACATCTAATGGAACATCAATAACAACCAGTGCATCAGCCTTTCCATCTGATGGAACACCAATAACAACCAGTGGATCAACAATGACGTCTGATGGAACACCAATAACAACCATTGGATCAACCATGACGTCTGATGGAACAATAATAACAACCACTGGATCAACAATGACGTCTGATGGAACAATAATAACAACCACTGGATCACCCATGACAACTGATGGAACAATAATAACAACCACTGGATCAACCATGACATCTAATGAAACACCAATAACAACCAGTGCATCATCCTTATCATCTGATGGAACACCAATAACAACAAATGGATCAACCATGACATCTGAAGGAACACCAATAACAACCAATGAGTCAACCATGACGTCTGATGGAACACCAATAACAACCAATGGATCAACCATGACATCTGATGGAACACCAATAACAACCAATGAGTCAACCATGACGTCTGATGGAACACCAATAACAACCAATGGATCAACCATGACATCTGATGGAACACCAATAACAACCAATGAGTCAACCATGACATCTGATGGAACACCAATAACAACAAATGGATCAACCATGTCATCTGATGGACCACCAGTAACAACTAGTGGATCAACCATGACGTCTGATGGAACACCAATAACAATTACTTGGTCGACCATGACGTCTGATGGAACACCATTAACAACCTCTGGGTCAACCATGAACCAATAACAACCACTGGATCAACCATGACGTCTGATGAAACACCAATAACAACCAGTGGATCAACCATGACGTCAGATGGAACACCATTAACAACCTCTGGGTCAACCATGACAACTGATGGAACACCAATAACAACTACTTGGTCGACCATGACGTCTGATGGAACACCAATAACAACCACTGGGTCAACCATGACATCTGATGATTTGACAACGACTGAAACCTCTGCCACGAGTGTTGGATCTTCTGATTCACCTGTCACAACTTCCGAAACGTCTGTGACGTCTCTAGACACTACTACATCTGAATCTACTGCATCCAGGCAAAAAACGGTCAACTTTGACAGTGGTGTGACCTCACTTAATTTTCATACGTTAAGCCGTGGGTGTGTACTGTCTGTAAGTGCCGGGGTGCTTATTTACATTTATAAAATTCAATTTAGGATAGCCTAAATAGCAATTTGTTCAATACTGTAATATTCAATAGTTCATTGTCCGGACGCGTAAAAGTGACATTTCGTTTTCAAAAAAATAATAATTCAAACTTGCTATAGTGACATTGCCGTTTCTCCTGGATTTAAAAGTCTGGACTTCCATTAGTCAGGACCAAGTCCGGATGCGTTATAGTGATTTTTCTGTTATCCAGGATTTGATAGTCCGGATGCGATAGTCCGGAAGCGATAGTCTGGATGTGATAGCCCGGATATGTTATAATGAGATCTCGTTAATACATAACTTGAGAGACCGGATGTATTTTTTATGCAGATTGTGATAGTCTGGATGTGAAAGCCTGGGCGTATTATAATCAGATATCATCAATACAGAATTTGATAGACGGATGTGAAAGCCCGGGCGTATTATAATCAGATATCATCAATACAGAATTTGATAGTCCGGATGTGATATAATGATATCTCACCAACACATTTGAAAGTCCGGATGTGATATAATGATATCTCATCAATACAGAATTTGATAGTCCGGATGTGATATAATGATATCTCACCAACACATTTGATAGTCCGGATGCGATAGTCTGGCAGCGATAGTCCGGATGTGATAGCCCGGATATGTTATAATGAGATCTCATTAATACATAACTTGATAGACCGGATGTATTTTTTATGCAGAATGTGATAGTCTGGATGTGAAAGTCCGGGCGTATTATTATCAGACATCATCAATACAGAATTTGATAGTCCGGATGTGATATAATAACATCTCACCAACACATTTGAAAGTCCGGATGTGAAATGTTTAAGTTGGATATTGTTAATTGAGAGTTTCATAGTTTAGACTTGTTATAGTTGAACCTTGTTAATCTATTTTATAGTAAATACGTTATAGTACATATATGTAACACATCATAAATCCGGGATTTGATTATCCGGACGTTTTATAAGTATTTCAGTTGACAGTTGACAATCCGAATTAAGGAGGCTCAGTAGTAACTGATAGTTACGTGTAGTTACTTAGAAAAAGGTAACTTATAGTGTTGATAATGCAGTATCATCAAAATTTATTGTTGTTTCTTATGCAGTTTATTTAATTGTTAAATATGGATTAATTTTGTTAAAAGTAAGGGTGCCATGTAATGATTCCTACATTGAATATCCTATTAATTAATTTCATATCCTGTCCACCGTCACCAGATTTGTCACTCTGTTGTTATCTGTTAGGTGTTTATTATGTTAACTCAACACTTCGTATTAACTGTTGTTAGATACTGTCAGCTGGCTGACGTATCTGGCTCAACCATATATATGTTGTATTCTCCCAGTTAGCAACTGTGACCGGGGTCTCTCATCCTAAATATCATTAGTCAAAATCATCAGCTCTGTGATAAAATGCGAGAATATCTTCACAGCATGGAGAATGTATTCCGTGAAGTTATTATAAAGCTTATCTTTTTTATTATCATCTTTATGAAGAACTCGCCGTTATCCTGAACCACAGGGACCTGAGAGTTTGTTGCAGCTATATTTGGACCTTAACTAATTAGGTGTTCAGAGTAATGTTACATGTTTGAGGGTTTAGATTGACTTTCGGTAAAACTGCCACCCACCCCCCAATTCTTATTATATATATGCATTTTCACCGAAAGTCGATATAATCCCCTAAAACATGTACAATTGCTCTGAACACCTTAGTTTATGTCCAAATATATAGCTGTAGTAAATCCAGGTCCCTGTGTCCTGAACAATAAGGTATTGTGTATGAGTAATTGTTTTCGCTTGTTGAACTATTCGTGAATCCACTGTATAATATCGTTGAATATTTACTTTAATATCCTTTCAAGAATTTGTGTAAACTTTAAAAATGAAAATGGAAACTTCAACGACCACAATGTTGTTGTTGTTTGTGGAAACGTGTACAATTATAAATCATGAATAAATCATCTTTGCGAAATCAAGCATTTGAACACATATATATACCTTTGCTAATTATTAATTTAACTTTTATAAATAAAATAAATTGAAAACTGAAGTGTTTTTTATTCTATTCAGAAAAATGCCCCATATGACATTTTGCTTCTATTTTTGAATTATTTAATCACCTCGCCAAATCTGTTGGGAGCTATCATGCTGGTGATCCCAGAGGCTGACAATGGTCGGAAGCTTTCCATCTGGAATAATGACTAGCTAATTTCCATAAACAAAGGACTATTTTTCTGAAATGATAACTCTTAGTTCACTAAATCATTCGATTCACACTTTGATTCAGAGAACTTTCCTGTTATGTAGTGAATATATCAAATCCATCAGTATTGCTTTTATTGTGACATCACAAAAAATATGAAGATGGCACACAACAGCAGAGAAAACAATAGTTCTATCTACTGACCCTGTATCCCTCATCTTATACTCAATGCTGTGGGGAATCATCTAACATGTATGACCTTCAAAGTAGGTCAAGATAATTCATTTTTAAACCGATCTCAATAGCATTTTGTACACCTCAGGCTAACACAACAGGCTGAAAAACATTACTCTGCAAATTTTCCATTTTTGTAAAAAGATTTTAACTTCGGTTAATTTTATTATGCAACACCAGCAAGCTGGAAGCATATTGTTACTACTGAGGCCTTATGGTCTTTGGAAGTTAAAATATTTGACCCCTGTGACCTTGAAAGATGGTCAAGGTTGTATTTTCAAACGAATGTAATAACATGATACAGGTCAAATATCATTACCCTTGGCCTCTTGTTTATTCAGAAGTTGTTTTAAATGTTTTAATCACATCGGACCCCCTTCAACGTTTAAGTGGGTCAAGGCCGTTAATTTCAATAGTTTGAGTTTTTTTTCAGAAATTGTTTAAAAAGTTTGATTTATATGAACCATTAAGTGGGTCAAGGTGTTTGAGTATATATGAACCATTTGACTTTGAAAGTGGGTCAAGGTATCTTATTTAAATAAACTTAATAGCAATTCATTCCAGCATGCTAATGACCAAATATTACCACTCGAAGCTTTCAATAAAAAAAATAAAAATCACTTAAAAACTATAATAAATTTGACCTCTATGACCTGGAAAGTGGGTCTGGTTCATTTATTTGAACAAATTTGATTTTATGACCTTAGGCCCCTTGGTTCCTCTGTAGTAATTTAAAGTAATAAGTTGATGCCAGGTGAGAAAAGAGTGGCTGCTGTAAACGTCACAGCCTCCATATACATTGTGCATATTAAGGTTAAAAGGCAAAGTTCACAGTCACATGGTTAATTAGGTATGTAGGTTATACATACTGTGTTTATAATTGGTGAGGACTTAAAGACACATGCTACCTTACAAATGGTACCATTGAATTACTCAAGTAACATTGTATGTATACTTTTTCAGAATTTCATTTAAGAAGTGAACGGGTTTATCATTGAGGAACTCTTTTAGAAAAGTTCCATTCTACAGTAAGAAAACATTTATCTTTAAGGATCCCTGTCACACTGCAGGCAAAACACTCAATAATTCTACTGTAGTTTTTGTACAGACAGTTACCTCCCCTTTTATTTCGTTCTGGATACATTTCAAAGAGTACAAGGCTAGGCTACTACCATTTAACAAGTGACAATGTAGGCTCAGCTGGCTAAAGCAACAGTATAATGGTTGGGGGTCCAGGGTTTGAATCCTTGTGTGGCCCCATTGCAGTTGTCCACTCAGAGCACTGTTTATGACAGCATCGTTACCAACGCTACCATTGTAGGTACTGGGGTCCTGAACTGAACTGCTGGCTTTGAGTAAGCTTCCATTTTAGAGAACGACACAAACAAGTACAAGTAAATCCTATAAAACAAGAATTTGTTTCAGACCCTCAATAACGAATAAAAACAAAATTTAACAGTTTCTGTAATTATTTTATTTTAACAAGGTCAGACTTCCGAGTCCAGATGCATAGGTAATTTCAACAACAAATGTTAGGAAACACATATCTTGGGTAAACACACACATACTGCCTTAAAATATTCACATGTTGACATTCTGCCAATATTTGGTTTTACATATAAACAAATATTTTTGCAACTGTGCTTATATGAGTTCACTTATCGCAAAGAACTTTAAGCAAAAAGTGAATGTAACAAATTAAGCTACATGTACATTAGTCAAAATAAACACTTAAATTTGAGATACCTGGACATCAATCTGTTGTAAATCTGAGATACCTGGACATCAATCTGTTGTAAATCTGAGATACCTGGACATCAATCTGTTGTAAATCTGAGATACCTGGACATCAATCTGTTGTAAATCTGAGATACCTGGACATCAATCTGTTGTAAATCTGAGATACCTGGACATCAATCTGTTGTAAATCTGAGATACCTGGACATCAATCTGTTGTAAATCTGAGATACCTGGACATCAATCTGTTGTAAATCTGAGATACCTGGACATCAATCTGTTGTAAATCTGAGATACCTGGACATCAATCTGTTGTAAATCTGAGATACCTGGACATCAATCTGTTGTAAATCTGAGATACCTGGACATCAATCTGTTGTAAATCTGAGATACCTGGACATCAATCTGTTGTAAATCTGAGATACCTGGACATCAATCTGTTGTAAATTTGAGATACCTGGACATCAATCTGTTGTAAATTTGAGATACCTGGACATCAATCTGTTGTAAATTTGACATACCTGGACATCTGTTGTAAATTTAAGTGAAAATCAAAACCCCAATGACATTATTTATAATTTTAAGTTGACTAACAAATGGGAGAACAAAGTATGAATTAATGTCTAGCTAGTATGTTTATATAGTCCAATCGCAATGTTTATTACCATTTATTGTCATGGATTTTTAATCACATTTAATAGCCTATCTATTTTTAATTTCATCCATTTGTTTAATTTCTTTTTCACGACAGTACAACTTCTATCTTGCAGGGCTAACTCTAATGAACAATAGTATGTGCCCTCAATTTAAACAAAAAATCATAATAAAAAATCAATGTCATTATTATAAATAGTACACGTTAGTTACAATAACCTGTAGGGAATACAATCAGAATTACAATTATTCATGAGGTAATTTGTTGGGGGTAGTTATTCATACATTACTAGTCTTACACAAAGCTAAATTATTTTTGGAGTATTTTAAAATGTTTCAATACAGAAACCAAAGTGTTCAGATTAACAAAGTTCCACTGATCAGGTACACAGAACCCGAAGTGTTCAGATTAACAAGGTTCCACTCAGGTACACAGAAACCAAAGCATTCAGATTAACAAAGTTCCACTGATCAGGTACATAGAAACCAAAGTGTTCAGATTAACAAGGTCCCACTCAGGTACACAGAAACCAAAGCATTCAGATTAACAAAGTCCCACTGATCAGGTACATAGAAACCAAAGTGTTCAGATTAACAAAGTTCCACTCAGGTACACAGAAACCAAAGTGTTCAGATTAACAAGGTTCTACTGATCAGGTACACAGAAACCAAAGTGTTCAGATTAACAAAGTTTCACTGATCAGGTACACAGAAACCAAAGTGTTCAGATTAACAAAGTTCCACTCAGGTACACAGAAACCAAAGTGTTCAGATTAACAAGGTCCCACTCAGGTACACAGAAACCAAAGTGCAACAAATATACCGATATGTCTTTTTCTACTTTACATTTTCTCCTCAAATTTAAAAGGAAAATGAAGTTAAGTGACAGACTATTTCATAATAAGTTATACAGTACAATCATTTTAAAACTGTAAGTGAAGCTATATTAGCAATTACTGATTACATCAGTAAACAGTTAAGAACATACAAATATACAGTGGACCTACCCACTGATGGATTTCATTTTTTGAGCAGCACATTATAATCATCAGTAATCTGATGATTACACAAACGTAAACAAACAATCACACAAGTACATACAATGCCCTACAGTAATGGGTAAGAGTAAGTTAGAATTCAGTGATACACCAGAACAAAGCAATACTCCGAGTTCTGTTGAATCAAGCCAGCTTATTCAATATTTTGTGGATAAGCCAGTGTTTTCAATCATCCATCCATGAAGGTTTACACCATACTGAAGTGGTACATCATAGCTGTCAACCCTCCCTCATTAGGAGGGAGACTCCCTCATTTTGACCAAAATTTACCAATCTCCTCGTAACTCCCTCATTCAAATCCAAACTCACACAAACTCAAAATCTACATCCTGTGGTCAAATGATCTTCTAGTTACTACAAGGTGTGTGAATTAAATAAATGCTTTTCAGAGTTATTTTGATAAATAAAAAGGAAAAGATCAATTGAGCAAAGCATTTTCAGTCACATCTCACACAGTCTCCCTCATTGGAAATGAAGGAGATCTACCTCATTGGAGGTTTCAGAGGTTGACACCTATCATACATGTAGGTGAGAGCATGATTCCTAGCCTCAGTTTCATGACCATTTCTTAACTTCAGGAAATACCTTAACTTCTGTTTTTCCATAGGAAAACAATATTAGAGTTTAGGAAAAATCCTAAGTTAAAGAATTTTTTCTTAAACTTGGAAACCTTTCCTATGGAAAAATTAAGTTACAGAATTTTCTTAACTTATGGAAGGTTCAAGAAAATTGGGCCTGGCATTTGGGCATCTAAACAGGGCCCTAGAAAACTGAATAGAATTATCTATCATCAGTGTGTTAATGAAATGAACATTTTTTGGTACATTAAATAAAAAATCATCTGGAGAGATACAATCAGCAGTCATTAATTACTTTTCTCAAAGAATGAAAAAATTAACAAGCTAGTGGAAACTATTATTGGGTAAAATTTTAAATATCACTTTTTACCTGGAAATTTCTTCTAGTTGTATTTTCACCCTTCACCTTAAAAATGTTGGTGCTAAAACTACATAATACATAAAGATTAATTAAAAATGTTATACATGAATACAGAGTTACTATATGAAAACACACCGGCTATGTGTTGATTTTGCAAGTATCCTAAGATATATTAACAATCTAAAATGTATTATATGAATGTAAAAATACTATTCTATGTAAAATTTGCATATAAGTGTATATTGCATAAATTTCTAATATCTGCTACATGGGGCATAAAGACAACCAGGGCTTGACACACTGATAAAGGTTTCGTGATCATAGGAATAATACACCATTGTTTTATATCATAACTTTCATTGTCATATAATTCATAATTTTTTTAGAGGTAGGAAATATTTTCTTCAGTCAAAATAACGACCCTTTACCTTGACAAAAGTTTAACCAGACAAGATGTGACTTCAAAATTCTTTCAAATATAAAATTTTGTGTTATATCATTGTGACATCATACCCAGGTTAAAATACGAAACAGTAAATGTTATTTTCTGGACAAAATGTTTATTGATATCAAATGTTTTCCTGATGTGACAGTTCCTTTCCCAAATTACTCACACCAGTTAAATTAACATGATAACCCACCACCAATTATGAAGAAACTTCTACTTATACTATTCCTTTGACCATCAGATCTATGTCAATGTTGCCCTCCCTTTGATAGAACCGGTGTCAGACATTTGTATGTTGGGTATGAAGTGATGCTATGAATAAATAATTATTTTAACATCACTTTTATAAAGTCATGTAATCATTTATAACATACAACTTGTACCAAGTAGGAAATTAATGCCATTTTTATAAAATAACAAGTTCCATATGAAGTATGGTATCTCTACTTGGAAATGTCTTTCCTTCATACCTGCTATAAGTCACCTGCATTAATACAGGTCAACCTGGTAGGCAAATATAGTCGATAACCTGCACAGATTATTATTGTATATTTTGGAATCTTCTGCTTTTGCACTGCTTATCCCAACAATGAGAATGTTTAAAAATCACAGTTGTAAAACTTTAATATTAAAAATATTAGATAATACATGCTATTTTATTAACAGCCAATCACTATATTAAAATGGCCTACAGTTAACAAGCTTGACTTGTATTTTGACCATTTATGAAGATTTTTTTATTGCATAAAAATGTGTGGGTATGATCCTTTTGGACAGTTCATAAGTGTCCAACTCTACTCATAATTAATAGCCTATGCATCTTTATCTACTATATGACCTTCACAGTTGGTTGTTAGTTCCTCACAAATATATATATGTATATATTTAATTATTGTTTTATAATTGCTTAGCCCTTATTGTAGTTCATCTCAACATAGTGTCGCTGTGGATTCTGATTTGTAATTCTACTGCTTCTATTCTCCTGTTTTCTCTCCCTCTTCATCTTCTGAAGTGTTGCGTGTGTATACCAATGACTCCAAGTCGCTTAATGCAAGATGTTCCTTTAGCATCTCTAAAGCTTGGTCCAAGATCAGCCGGGACTTCTCAGCAGGCCCCTCCCTGATTAACTGCCGTCCCGGGACAATCAGAAATTTGATTAGGTCCAGCAGTTTCCTAGTTAGTGCTTCAAATGGTCTTTTGTCAGACGGTATCCATGTATCTTCCCTGGTAGTGTCTTTTATTACTTCTGGTTCAATCATATAAGTTGGGTGTTCATTTCTTTTATGTTTTCTGTAGTCGCCTGTTTTCCTTTACGATCTCTTGCAGATTTTGCATTTATACCATGCCTTGATGGCTGAATGGGCAGTGTTAGCATACCTACGCAAGTTTCTGATGTGAGCATACGTTTTACCACAACATATACAAGGTATGCTCCTCACTGTCCCCTGATTATAAGGTGTCTTTTTAGTTTTCACCATTCTATGTAATGATATTAAGCCCCTCTGGTTGTTATGTTCGTAGTAATCTGATGAAGCTGTCCTCGTAACGTAGCCGCCGGCTGATGTCATTTACATCCGTCACCAAGCCAATGACACCGACGTCACTGGTATTGTGACCCGACGTAATGAAATGTCCCACCACAGGTTTGGCCGGGTCGGAGTGTATAATTGAATATAGATGGTTTCTGATGCATGTATTGATAGTCATAGATGTTTGGCCAACATATTGTATACCACATTTCTTACAAGTTATCAAATATATCGCGTTTGTGCCCTGACATGTAATACTCCCCTTTATCCGGTGTGTGTCTTTCTAAAATTAATATGACGAACATATTAACATTTTCAACATGACTTAGAGTCAAAAAAACTAATGTTTAACACAGTTGAAGTTTAATAGTAAAAGTCAGCTAGGGATCACCTTTGGCATAGAATAGAAGATGAAACATTTTCTAAATATTTTCGGCCATTAAAGTCGTTATACGTTAGGATTACCTCCCTTTGTAGGGCATTATCATTAAGTAGTAACCTCCCTTTTTAAGTAATTGCATGTACATATTTCATACCACATTACTAATCTCGTTTTTATCCTGCACAACTTGTATATTCATATAAAGAGACATATATCCCGTGAATTATCACCATAATGTCCAAGGCGGTTTGTTGACATTATTGATGGGCACTCCTGTCAAGTTCACTGGTATATTGATGGTGGCTCCCATAAGGCCGTATCTCTCTATAGAGCTCTTTATCATGTATCTAAAACATAAAAACAATGTCGCTAAGTTGTGGGATAGATAAAAGTTCAGAAAATCACATTTAAACTCCATGATATGGTCATCATTTCTCTAGCAAAATTTGTGCGTTATACAGAAGTTTGGCGATATATCCAAACAGACACATAAAAAACATGGGATAGATATGATATATGACCTATATTTGCTTTCTAAATTAACATTCTTCTGTTGTACTACAAAAATACGGCGTAGGGAGTATGGCCGACTTGGTGATCTGGCGAAGAGACTTAACGCAAGAAGTGACAAAATGCTCTTCTGTTTACTAATGTTATCGCAGCTTTTGGATGTTGCTGGTCAGTGGTCAAGTTTTTTATTGATAACGGACAAACTCCTTGAAGTTGAATAGAGAGATTTTTTAACAATGCAAAAGTGGATATGTGTTTTCAACAGGATTATATTTGGGAAAAGTATGAACAACACAAAAAATAAGACATAGGATATTGTTTTCTCCTATAACCACTGTAATGGTTTCCACAATCCAGCTCATTGGATAAACCTGCTAGGAGTTCGTAAACATTTTTGATTATCCACTAGTGGGTAACAACCTCGATGTTATCTTATTGATCAAATGCTTTGTGACGTCATAGTTCATTGTGACGTCATAGTTCATTGTGTCATCATAGTTCATTGTGACGTCATAGTTCATTGCAATGGTTTCTCTGATCAGAACAGAAATAATGTATTCCGAAGAGAAACATGTGGTTTTCTAGATATCATATCTGAATGTTGTAGGAAAAGAAGGTCCCCAAACTCGTAATGGTTGATTGTCATGTTTATCTAACTCTTGTTAGTTATTTTTCAAATTGTAAAACACTCAGTAAACCCCGTGTCTTTATACAATTTAAAATTAACTAACTCGAGTTAGATAAACATGAAGAGCAACCACCGCTTGTTGGGGAACCTCTATTTATACCATAGAGGGATGTGGGTGTTTTTTCTGTCCATTTTCAAAATACAGAGTCTCTTACTGAAAATTGGGTTTCGTACTTGACAAGTGTGCATGCTTTTCCTTGACCTTTGTAATTCAAAACCAAATCAAGTTTCAATAAAGGGTATCTGTGGTTAAATGTTTTAACATTTTTATTCATTTTGTCCTCAGAAATCATGTCCACATGCATGTAGAATTTTAATATAAAGGCTCAATAACTTTAAAATCTGACCTACAAACTTGAAATGAAACCAGAACAGTTAAAACTTGGACAGTTAAACATGTGCTGACCAGTGTAAAATGTTTCCCATAATTTGCTGTATAGGCTGCAATAGAAATCTTTATATATAACAGTATTTATACAATTTTTAATAAATTACATTCATCTTTTCAAATATATTTTTGTAAAGTTGTGAGCTTACCCATCTTTCCCGAGCAGGAATAACGCTGGTATATTTATTTCTCGGTCTGTTTCATCTTTTATCATGTCTATCGTACTATCATCGTTATTTTTATCATTATCTGTTATGATGGTTGCCACAGCACCGGCAATTTGAGCATGAAAAGTTTTGGTGACGAATGAGCATTCCCTGAAACAAAATTAAACAAAATTATATTGTTTTTACAATAAAAATGGCAGCTAAAAAAGAAGATGAAACACAAAAAGTCTGGAGTTAAATCAGTTATTTCACATAAAATAACACTTCATTTAAAGTATTCTAAACATTACTGTACTATTATTTCATTCATGCAGAAGGAGCATATTTAAGGGGACATAACTGTGAGTAACTGTCAGTCTCCTTGATCAAATTAAGGGGACACAACTTTAGGTTGGTATCAGTCTCATTGGTCTCATTATGGGAATATAACTCTAGGGCAAGTGTTAGTCTCATAGGTCACATTAAGGGACACAACTACGGGGCCAGTGTTAGTCTTGTCAGCCAAATTAAGGCAATATAACTGTAGAAAAAGTGTCAGTATTATTGGTTATTTACAGGATATAACTGGGGTTGAGTCCATCCCATTGATCACATTAAGGGGACACTACTCTGGGGCAAGTGTTTAGTCTAACTGGTCAAATTAAGGGGACATAACTGTGGAATACGTGTTGGTATTATTGGTCACATAGAGAGGACAAAAATAGGAGGTAAGTGTCAGTCTCATTGATCACATTAAGGAGACACTACTCTGGGGCAAGTGTTAAGTCTTACTGGTAAAATTAAGGGGACATAACTGTGGAATTAAAGTGTTGGTATTATTGGTCACATAGAGAGGACAAAAATAGGAGGTAAGTGTCAGTCTCATTGATCACATTAAGGAGACACAACTATGGGGTAAGTGTTAAGTCTTACTGGTAAAATTAAGGAGACATAACTGTTGAATAAGTGTTGGTATTAATGGTCACATAGAGAGGACAAAAATAGGGGGGACACAACTATGGGGTAGGTGTTAAGTCGTACTGGTAAAATTAAGGTGACATGACTGTGGGTTCCGAGTCAGCCATTTTGGTCACATTAAGGGGATCAAACTGATTGGTTGGTGTAATGGTGTTACTGTGTGGCAGATATCAGATTAAAGGGACATAACTGGTGATGACATGAATATGTGGCCTACCCTCTTTGAAGCATCACAATCCTATCTCTCACAATCTCATGATTTTGCAGTGAACTACATCCGCTGTATGGATTTCCTAATATCAATTGCATCCCTGTGTACTTTTTTTCCTGTAAAATAATTTAGATAGCAGTATCAGACATCATACTCACATTTTTTTAAATTAAGGTATTAATCTGGCAACAAGCCCTTGCCTGGTAATTAGCCCACATATCTTTAATGTTGTGCAGTGGAAATGCCAACAAATACTATTTCATTGTCCTATAATATGCCTGTCTGTCTTATTTCAGTCAGAAATTATGTGTTGGCCCCCTTGCAGGATAAAGACGTAAACAATGTCTCTTCTTTACATTTTCTTTTGTATTAAGTCTCATTTACTTTTTTGAAGTTCAAGTTTTTAGCAATTAATGACCAATCATTCATTTCAACACATTTCAAAGCAAAATTGATTTGTCAAATCATCTGAAAGCATATAGTATTAAGAATGCTTTAACAAGTATATTTTACACTGTATACTTACAAAAACTGCTCCAAAATTTTTGGCAGGTCTTATTTTATATAGAAAATTTATGTCCTCTGGTTCTAAAACCTCCATAAAAAGTGAATTTCCATATATAAGGTTGGTGTCAGAGGTTGTTGCTACTCGTATCTGATCGTCAGCATCTACAATAGAAAATATGCATGCTTTATCTTGAATTTGAAAACAATTATTGTATCAGCTGGGTTCAAGGATATCAAACTAAAACAATGTATCATAACATGACTGAACAAAAAGATTCATAACTGGTTTTTATGGTTAAATCTTCAGAACTCGCACTTGGGAGTCCTTCTTCTCAAACCGTACAAAAAGCATAGTCCAGTCCTTTCTGCTGGTATTTTGTGAATCTATATATAGATTTCCAGACATATCTTTACCAGCCAGGGAGACTGGAGGCATGACTTGAACATGAGGTTGACCTGAGATTTTTGAAAAAAAAGTTTTCTGATGGGGTTCGATTTTTTCAATATTGACAGCCTTCCATCCTGATCATATATACCATCATTCAGGATAGCGTTCTTCCTGAGAGTTGATCTAAACCCCTAGAACATCTTATATAGCTTTCTTCAGTACACATCAAGATACAGTGTACATGTATGTCCAATTTACAAGAACCTTTAAAAGAATGCATGTAGTCTAGCCACAAGTGTTTGAAATTCTGACTGTAAATTGAGATAAAAATGATATAAAAAATGAGGAGTATTTCCCTATTTTTTTTAAATGATTTTTATCTCAATTTAATTACCTAGGCCTAGCCTGTTTACAGTCAGAATTTCAAAGAGCCGTGGTCTAGCCTGTCAGTGGAATTTTAGTGATAAAATCGCCATGTCCTATAAAATGGTCGTATCTCTAATCCGCCATTACATTAATACAAAACCTTTCCACTAACATCTATCAAAACATATCGTTCTTATTTTAGTTTATCTATTGTTACAATTACTGCTTTTTTTTTACTGAAACCAATCATGACACGTTCTGTCAGAAATTCAGCAACCGGTCAGATATGACAATTTTGTGATTGTACGATCTAGTTTTAACTTTTCTGCAAGTTACACGGACCTACTAGATACCTACCAGACAGATTTAAAACGGAAAATAGAAAGGTAAGTAGATGATAAACTTTCTCTTTACAAAACATTTTTAGAAAGAACTACACATGTTCTGTCAGCGAAACCGTGTATTGGGAATAGAGTTATCTCCCCACATTTTCCGGAACTTTCTTCAGGTGTCGTGGCAAAATGTAAACCCCATTACGTGGACCCCTGAACCGGAAGCTATATACATCTATTCCACTAAAACAACAGACTTTTAAGTTGTGATGTTCCGAATATGGTATTAATACTGCAGTAAAACAGAGTTAACTGTATAGAAAGAATCATGATATAAGATGGCACATTGTAAAAAAAGATCATGTTACCTAGGAAAAGGTGTCTATCATTATGTGCATTGTCAGCTTACTGTGTAGTGTATTTAGATGCACACGTTCTGAAATACATGTAGCAGGGCACATTAAACGAAAGCCATAGTATATGGTCACTGATCCAACGTACATCTAAAATCATTATTTTGATACTGCGCAAATTTTCAACGGCTAAATAGTTTAAATAAAGCATTGTCAACTTAAGCTAAACATAGTATATGTTTTCAAATTTCAGCATACATATGTAGTAAAGCATTCTGAACTTAAAAATTAGTTATTGCAAGGCATACATATATCTAATACTCATGCAGCTTACTTTATACAAACAAACGCATTTTGAATATTAAGATCTCTTTATCATTTAAAGCTCTTCGAAAATGGTCTCCAGCATATAATCACAGCACATGTTTACAGCACCCCAAAGACCATTATAGAGCCATGTAATCTAGCTGTTGATGCCTCATATTTTCTATTAAAGTCTATCCTATCTCTAGTTAATTATTCAATTAGCTATATAGATTAAACTTATTTCTTTTTTTACTACAGATCTTTTTCATGATTGATGAAATGGAATGTGGTTGAAGATACTTGGCATTGTGACTTTTCCTTCAATCATAGCATGGCTAACCAGAATCTTTTGGCCCAAAATCTGGACAACAGATGTCAAGGGCCAGGTGACTTGCCACAATTATGGGGAAAAGGGGCCTGGATCAGCATGCCATCGTATCTGTCCATTGGGGTATTTCCATTTACCAACTATGGATGAACAGTGCCATCCCTGGCTCACCTGTCATGACCTTAGAAATGACATTGTAAAGGTCAAGGTAATTGGAGCTGGAGCAGTAAAGAAGGTGCACATTTTTTAAACAGTTCACTTATTTCTTTGGATATCAAAAAAGGAAAGTAAAATAGTTTGGCTTTCTGTCTGTACTTTGAAGATTAATCATAATCCACAATTACAATAAAAGCTCCTGAGGTAACTTGAGTTAACATTACACACATGCATGGAGAGTCCCCGATACAACAAGGCATATTCATAAGAATGAGAGAAGTGTTTAACCCCTGATAAACAAAGTCCAGGTAGATGAAAGAGATTTATAAAGAGATTTTCTGGTTCTTCAGGATGAATGATGACTGAAACCTTAAAATTGTTAACTGTTAACATTTTCATCATTGACTACAACTGTACTTTGTTAAATTGTTAACATTTTCATCATTGACTACAACTGTACTTTTGTTAAACTGTTAACATTTTCATCATTGACTACAACTGTACTTTGAGAAAAGATTAACTTTTGTTTTCTATACTATTTCACCTGGAGTAACTAGTTTGGTGTACAAGGACATCTTGAGATGGCGGGGTGCAAAGTGCAAGAATTAGGTTATTGTGACCTATGACTTGACTTTTTACCTTCATTTTTGAAAATGTTTGTCCGGGGCACAGATGGACATAGCGGAAATAAAAAAAAAAATGGAGTCTTATAACTCAGTTCCTCAGGAGTGTGTGTCAATATTTCTTACAAACATTCTGAAAGATATGCCTTAAATGCTAAGCAGCTGGATAGTCATTATGAAAAGGCTCGACAAAGGACATGCAAACACGGAGAGCAAACACGGAGAGCAAGTGTGAATGTAATGTCCACAAATCCTCATGAAACTAGAGATCTTGCATCAGAGATCCATGTTCAGAAAAACTATTTTTATATATGCATTAAGATATATAAAAATGTTTTTATTATCTTAATTCGAACCACAATATACTTTCTTTAAATAACCAGGTGTTGAAACATATAAATCATTTTAATTGGGTTATTAATTTTTCAAACAGGTTTCTGTAGCAACATGGAAAGGTCACATGGTAGCAATGAATGAACCTGTCACAGAGCTGTATTTAAAAGACTACAGGTATGGACTTGATATACTCAAAAAACTTCAAGGTCATCTAGAAGTCATTCAATTCATCGGGTCATGTAATGATGTGTATGTCACTCAATACCACAGATTTGGTTCAGCTGACCAAATAGGAAATATCCTGGGTGACCTCAACTCTGGACACAAGGATACCATGGCAACCAGATTTATTTTATGTCTGAATTATGTAGCAATTCTCAACTTCCTACATACAAACACACTTGGAACCTTGGTCATGTGCGATTCCAATGACCTTGAGAAAACCTTAAAACAGTATCTTATCACGGATGACCTAATGTTGGTACTCAATGACATTGATTCCTTGGCAAAGGTCAATCATTCTGCCGGTGAACTTATCAAATGTGGTCATCGTGAACTTGGGGGAGAATTTGTTGCACCGGAACAATTATGGCCATATGATGCAGAGTTTACAGATGACACAATGCCACCCTATGATGAGAAATCAGATATCTGGAAAATTCCTGACGTCTGTAATAATTTCATTATTGGACATAGAGACTCTATGAAAGTCCAACTTGATTTGTTTGGTATTCATTCCGCCTGCAAGGAAGATCAGGCATCTCACAGACCCAAAGCTGCAGACATTTTACGGGAATATGAGCGAGTGTGGAATAGTATTGATAAATTATATGACTGACACTAATCAATAAATTAATTGTTAATATTTTCTCGCTCTTATTGTTTTTTTCTCTGCTGGCCTTTGTCCATGTCATATTTTGGTTTCTGCACTGGAATGCTATAAAAGTGGCATTTTTCACGTGTGGAAATGTTTGCACTGTGATCCTTTAAACTGATTATGGTGTGAAAATTTGTGTGTTGTCTATTGTTTTGAAATCTATATATTTTGAATATTTGCATGTGTGGATATTTTCGTGCTAATTAACTCAACATGAAAAATAAGCATTTCCACACCATGAAAAATTCCACTTATACAGTAGTTCCATTGGACTATGGTTCTCAAACTTTTGAGGAGACTAATGGGTCAATGATAAAGCCAGTCACTTGTAGATTTTTATTTTCCATACAAGTACATTTTGTATTTTATTCTTAGGCCTAGGATACCAAAGATTAATACGCTGATTGCTAATGGGGAAAGCCTCAAGGTCACCTCGCTTTTCAGCTTGGCCCCAGTCATGTGTGCACTAGAACCAGACTGATATATAACACTCAGTCAGATCAGTGGTGTTTCAAGGTATATATATACAAGAAGATTCTCCAAGATAAGAAGAATTTCAAATATGTTAACAAAAGAATATAAACAAAACGAAGTAAAAATGAATTGCAGAGTTGTTTTTATTGAGATTCTAGGTTGTACAAAGCTGCCAATGTTTTGTATACAGTAACAAAGGGCAGTGCACACAAGTAAACAGATACACAACCAACACTCTTACCATACAACTATAATCTGTCCTAAAGTACAAACACACCCACACACCCACATACAAGTCCTATACCTAATAGCTGTATGACCTCCATATTCATTTTAGCTATTAATATGTCGGTTCATCTGTCCCTGTTTATTTTTGTCTTTGTCTATCCATCCAGTAATCTACAGATGTTTGTCTCTGTCTGCACGTACATTCATCCCACCTTAGATTTGTCTGTCCATCCCACCTTATTCTCCGTCTGTCAATCTGTCTTTGGTTGTCTTCATTCATGTAGCCATGCTCTTTAGTCCATCGTTAGTCAAGTGATCTTATTAAAAATCAAATATCCCCATCACTTGACTTCAACACCAGGTATATATATATATATAACTAATGTATCAGCATCAAAAGGCATATAAACATAATTTATACACAATTTTAATGACATGTATAGACTTTATTTTACTGTCAATATTACAATTCACTATTATTCTGGTACATGTATATGCCTGTCTTCTGTCCTTGGAAATGTCTACACACATACCGGGTTATTTTTACCCAGTGAAACTTCTAAACTCCATCCTTTGATTTAATTCTTATTAGTATATGTATTTATTCATCTATCTGTTGGTCAGTCTGTCCTGTTATCAGTACATCTCTATATTTGTTCATCTGTTGGTCAGTCTGTCCTGTTATCAGTACATCTCTGTATTTGTCAATCTGTTGGTCAGTCTGTCCTGATATCTTTCTTTGTCCATCTGTTGGTCAGTCTGTCCTGTTATCAGTACATCTCTTTATTTGTCTATCTGTTGGTCAGTCTGTACTGTTATCAGTACATCTCTATATTCGTCCATCTGTTGGTCAGTCTGTACTGTTATCAGTACATCTCTATATTTGTCCATCTGTTGGTCAGTCTGTCCTGTTATCAGTACGTCTCTATATTTATCTATCTGTGGGTCAGTCTTTCCGGTTATCAGTACGTCTCTATATTCATCTGTTTTTATCCATGTCTGAGCGAGTCAATATTTCCTCCTGTGTACATTGACCTACATGTATTCAGAATGTTTTTTATACACCTAGTAATGAAGATAAAATTATTTTTTGAAGAAAAAAGAATCAATTAATTTTGTCTTATTTGTGAATAATGGAGGTCTAAGAAACATCAGATAAAGTATATTTTCTTTTGAAGATTATATTGTTCACATCTTCCTATTCAAAAAGATTTGTTGCTAAGACTGTTTTCTCCATCTTATGTTAAAAGAAACACAGATGGAGTTTCTGTTTATAAAATGCTGAATTTGTAGGACAATTTATTTTCCATTTCATTTTTAAAACAAGGAAAACGGACTTGAGATCAAACAGAAATTAAAGAATGACAAATAAAAACATTTAAACAGAAGTAAATAAAGCTAAATACAAAAGTATTCCATAAGCATCAGGTTAGTATGGTCAATTATATCTTAGTAAAACCTTTCCATGATGTTTCCAAATCTACCTGTCTAGCCAAAGTAAAACTTTTTAAAATACAGTAAAAAAGCATTGTAAACTTTAATATGATGATCTTTGTTTCATGTGTCACGCTGCTTATAATTTTATATCACAACAATTTTTCAAAGTTTATGTTTATTTTTTTTAAATTGTAACACTTTCTTCTCTAAATGTGTAATGCTAATTCTTTTTAATCATGCCAAAAACTGATGGGCAAACACTAAAGTTTGGCCAGCAACAACCAGATTGTCATAAAAAGTATGTTTAAAATTTAATTTGAATTGTATCATTATAACACCAAACTTCTTTATACAGTGTGATGCCAAAACTGATGTGAAAAGATAGTAGCATATTAAGGTTTTACAGCATCACAGAAAATTAAGTTATCATTTTAATTTTAGCTACAGTCATGTGATACAGTTAATTGTTACCCTGACAACAAATATTTCTATCTGACAACTGACTTGGATTAGTTTACTTCAAATGCTTAAAACAAACATGTACACACATTTTAACAAAACAAGCCGAATACAAAGCTATAATGAGAAGAGAATGTACAATTGACTGTACAGACCTTAAACATATAAAACAATCAAACTTAACAAGAAAAAGCTCACAAGCATGTGTGTCCTGTCATAGCACTATAAGCCTGATATTACAATCCCTATAACACTTATAACTAATAAGATCTTTAACCCAAACTGACATAGAAGTTACCAGTACAAACTACCAATGGAAGTCAACTTAAACACAACGAGCTGGATTTCATTCCAGTTAGACGAACACTAAAAGTGTTCCTTGATTTTATATACAAAATTTAGCTTGCTCTATGGAACTTAAAGGCTATGAACCCCTGTTAAAGGTTTGACTAAGAGGTTATTTAATGTTGAAGTCTATGGAATATCATTAAATGCCCAGCTTAAATATGACTTAGAATTCAAGATAATGTTAGTTTAGGGGACACCATGAGCTGCATGTGTCTATCCATCATTGAATGCCCAGCTTAAATATGACTTAGAATTCAAGATAATGTAAGTTTAGGCAATACAACTGTACCATGAGCCGCATATGTCCATCTGCATTGAATGCCCAGCTTAAATGTGACTCAAAATTCAAGATAATGTAAGTTTAGGGGTCACCATGAGCTGCATATGTCTTTCCATCAAGTTCAGTGCAGAAAGTCTTAATTGTTTTGGACACACAACAACATCGTGCATTTCAAACCCAGCTTGAAAAACTACAAATAAGATTTTGTAAATAGTTTTAATGGCAGATATAAGAGTTGATAATTTGAAATTTAAGCAAGCTTCAACAAAACTGCAAACTGATATGTTGTTGTCAGAATCCATTAAAGCACTATCATTATCACTTTTCGAACGACTAACAATGTCCTTTCCCATCTAATTATCTCCCCTTTTCTCCCATCTTATTTGTACATTGCTAAGGCAACTATGCATATCAAACCATTGATATGAATAACAAACAACCATGAAGCCTCTACATATTTATATGTAGGTAATTGTTTACAAATAAAAGCCCAGTATTTATACAGACAATTCCGTTTGGACAGTACCAGATTACCTCCCTTGGGTTTATGAATATTTTAGTTGAATCTAGAAAAATCTACTAAAAAGATAATTTGTTAAATCTTCCATAAGTGCTGGCCAAAGAAACCAACTATTAATAGGATGGGGAAATTTTGACATAATAACGTCTATATGTAACTGAAGTTTGGTGTACATATCTTTTTCTTTCAGGCAGTGTTGATTCTAGTTTGGTAATTGAAGGTAATCTGGTAATCACATTCCAGTAGAGTAAGCTGACTGACACATTGTCAAACTGCAAACAACTGTCCCCTTTATCATACACTCCTGTGGAAAAAAATACACAACGTTTCGTAGACCTGGTTTTAAAATGAACTGTTCTACCACTGAAATGAGCATTCCTCTCTCACACACATGCATGCATTCCTTTGCATAGAAACCAAAAGCTATATACATAATATAATAAAAACAGATCATAATTAAGAAAGCAAAAAAGGGCATATGGTATCGTTTTTATCACTTGGTCGTCACTCTGAAGTTTAATCTACACTGAAAACAAATCAAAAACAATTTCCATGATATGATGAGCAACAGAGTTTAACTCCAATGAATGAAATGTTTGAACAAGCAATGTATGGAGTTCATTTTTCATAATAAAAACAGAAATCATTCTTTAGTACAATATATACACAATATTCACAGATTTATCAATGAGAAATAATTTGTGAGCACTTTAACATTCTGAAGACGAACAGAAAATAATTGCAACAAAAGTTTTTAGGCTTGCATTATTCAAAATAAATTCTACAAATGAACTTAAGAGTCTTTTGCTGAAAATGATTTTTATCATAAAATCAAACTTTCTTCATAGAAATTGGATAAATATGTGTAGATTTAAAACAAAATAAACTCCAAAAAAATGAAATTATTTTGACAAAATTACTTTCTAGTTATTTTGAATGTTATACATTCCCCAAACTTAAACCCTAATCAATCACAATCATCCAATGTTTGCTGTTTAACATGATTCTCATCGTATAAAATTACTGGTTCAGAAACTCAAGTTTATTTAATATCTTGCAAAATGCAATCATCTGGTATCACAATTACTATAATACATTACATTAAAATATCTTCATATAAAAGAAATTTTCTTAATATAATCCAGTTTACACTTATACATTCCAATTGAATAATAAATGTGTTATTTTATTAATCATACTTTGTTTCATTCTATTAAACTCATAAAATGCCCAATTATATACAACAAAAAAGGAGTCCAAAATTACAAATAACAATATCTAAAATAGATAAATATATAAATTCTAACATCAATCATTTTTCATATGAAAAATATTGATATTTAATGTCTAAACCATTCTAATCTTTAATTAAGGGACCATATCTCTTTTCAGATAACCTCTTGTTAACTTAAACCGGGTATTATCAAATCAACAGGAACAAAAAATAATCAAAGAGAAATTTGTAATTGTGTTACATGGACCTATATTTACATTTCTTTATATAATTTATTGTCTTTTAAGACAATGATTTCTACTGTAAGTATAAAATTCATATTTGCTGATGGTTAAAAAATCAACACAATCATTTACCTCCCCTTTACAACACTTATTATCTCTCCTTCCATGAAATGATGACTACGAAAAGTAAGCAAAACAAATCTTGAATGAACTTTTGAAGGATAACTACAAATAAATCTTTATTTATTTAAGCAAGATGTAACAAACACCATAGCTACAACTTGTTTAAAAAGAACACAATATCACAGTTTGAATCATCAAATTTAAATTTCTGTCCTTCAAGTATGAACACATTGAGATGTCGGACAAACCAGGTGTTCAGATAACTCAGGTTTCTGTGATACATGTAAAACATAACCATTCTATACCTTCACAGGGAAATAAATATCTAACATTTCATATACCATTTATTTGAAATGTTTGAACAATTTCACTTTGGAAACATTAATAATATTTCTTCAATAAATTGTTTCAAGCATTTTAAATACAGTACCTTGTTCTTGAATTCAAATCCTTTCACCAAATTGTTTTCAACCACATTAATTTTATGGCATGGATTTGAATCGTTCAAGAACATTAGTAACCTTTAAATTGAATAGTGCATTGTACTAGACATTTTTTACAGTATACATGTACTAACAACAATAATAAAGAAATAAGTACGGGAGAATAAATAAGTTTCACTGATGTACAGTAACTATACTTAATCTTCTTGTAATCATGATTATGAATTAGGATAAAATTCGAAATTAATTAAAAAGTTGCGATGAAGACATTTGAATTAAATTGAAAAAATATTGAGAAAAATTATAATTTGGAAATAAACAAATCTAGTATATTTAAGTTTGAAGAATAAGGTTGAAATTTAGAAATTAGAACTAGTAAATCTTGTCTGAGAATGGTTAAAATACTGATAGATCAACACAATCAATGATTTGAATATCATATAAAGGTTTGATAAAAGTAGAATGCAATGCACAAATGTATACAGCAAAACACACTTAGTTCAAACAGGAGGGAATTCCTGCTGATAACAAAGTCATAATTATCTCCCCTGGCAAGGAGTCATCTCACGAACATCATTCTACAACAACAGCATTGTAATTTGTTATTAACATGTTTTACTGTATAAATATCACACCAGTGCTCAAGGAATACATAGAAGAAGTGATTGTTGCACCAACTAAAATAATGGAAGGATAAAGATTATTGCAAAGGCAAGCTAATAGATTAAGATACACATATGGATGTACAAAGTCTAGGGTAAACACTAAATACAGCCTGCATCAACAGTCTGCTGTGTTGGGAGGACGGGCTGACGTCATCATCACCAGTGTAGGATTGTGGACTGTAACAGATAAGGAATTGTCAATTACATTAAGAGCACTGCATGGTTAGTGGTGCCCTGGATTCAATCAAATTTTATCAGTTAAGTGGTACATTAGTATTTAGTCCTCCAATGTTAAAAGAGTTATTTCTGATTTTATAAATTTAACAGAACCTGCATTTTCAACTTTTCAATGATAATATATAATATATACTGCAGAGATATTAAGATTTCAAGAAGAATTTCTAGTGCACATAATTCAGTCACCAATTCAGAATTTCAAAAACTAAATATATTGAACATTTCATGTTTTATGTACTCAAGTTCAAAACTGGATACAATTGGATACAGATACATGTATCACAATTCTCTATCTAAGATACATGTATCACAATTCTCTATCTAAGATACATGTATCACAATTCTCTATCTAAGATACATGTATCACAATTCTCTATCTAAGATACATGTATCACAATTCTCTATCTAAGATACATGTATCACAATTCTCTATCTAAGATACATGTATCACAATTCTCTATCTAAGATACATGTATCACAATTCTCTATCTAAGATACATGTATCACAATTCTCTATCTAAGATACATGTATCACAATTCTCTATCTAAGATACATGTATCACAATTCTCTATCTAAGATACATGTATCACAATTCTCTATCTAAGATACATGTATCACAATTCTCTATCTAAGATACATGTATCACAATTCTCTATCTAAGATACATGTATCACAATTCTCTATCTAAGATACATGCGTCACAGTATTGTATTTGAAGGTGCATGGTACCATTACATCAGTTATAATGTCACAGAGATGAGATTCATTTCAGAGACTTTTTCTCCCTTAATTTTTCTGTATCTATATACAAGATGAAGCAATCACAATGAGTTTTTCTGGCTTAAAGTAATTTCCTCTGTCATTATATTAAGACAGGTTTTGCCATCCATAAGTTGAATTTGGCATTCTTTTTGATTCTGGGTATTTATATTTCCGGGATGGCAACATTGGATAAGTGTAGGCTTTACAATGTAATGGTACCAAGTTCAGACCCTGTAGTTTTTCTTTTTTTTTAATTTGTTTCCAAATATTCAAATTTTAAGCACAGTAATTAGCTTATTAAGTCTGTAAAATCCACCACAACATTGCTATTTTTATGGAATTCCTGTTTTTAAAAAGACTTAAACAAATTAATCCACAACAATGACAATGTAAATAAGAAACTTTAAGTAGTTTGTACCCTTTATCTTCAGAATGCATGCTACCTAACGACATGCATCGCCTTTCGTAAAGGGTTCTACACTAGGAAATCTGTTCAATTTCTTTTACAATATATATTTTTTCATTTGGACTATGTTAATAGACCGTAAACCTGTTAACAGGAACAAGGGACTTTGATAACGCTCTGGTAGTTCTGAATCACCAAATAATTTGATTTAAAGGCGGACAAATCTCCAACACAAAATGACACAAATAATGTGTAAAGTGTACCATATATCCTTAAAAAAGGAGAAAGCTATAGCTATAAGCACAAAGTTAAAAGCTGTATCAATCATTAAAATCAGTAGGGTAAGTGAAAATTAGAAAACCAAAAATTGGAATTCATGTCCTCACTTTGAAAGCAAAAAAGGAGTCAATTAAAAATAGCCCCTTAAGATCACTAGATATTTGAATCTGATAAATAAAAATTGACTCGTCTTTAAATTTAAGCATACGGCCGGGTAGTTGCTTTGCTGTTTTATCAAAATTTACAAAGTTTGGTCTAAACTTTTTCAACCAAAATATGACCTCCGTACTATAAGAGAGATGGTTTATCTATTGTGTTATTAGGTCACCAGATATTGAACCAAAATCATTACTATGAGAGATCAAATCTTTTGCCCATATTCATGAAACCATTCTTATGCTCAAGCACAAATTCTGTGCTCAAGCTAACTTTCCTGTAACTCGCCTAAAATAGGTGTCATGATCAAAAAGTCAAGTATAAACATTAAAAATCTATCCGATTTTGATTTTATTTATTTATCAAAAGAAAACTAATTTGGGGTTGAGCACAGAATCTGACTTGGAGCATGAGGACAGTTTCATAAATTTGGGCCCAGGCCTTAAATTACTGATGGGTCGAATATTGTAAAAGATTTTCCTTGCTTTCAAAGTGGGAGACATATTGTCACTAAGGAATTGTCTATAGATCTAATTGGTTAAAAATATGAATATGAACATAATATATGTAAACCCAACCATTCATTACTTACCCTGACGGTATTGACTACCGGATTACCTCCCCCTTACCAAAAAGCTGCCCACTGGTTTTCACTTGGTAGTGCTAGTAGTATAATAATTTGATAAAATATTAAAGATACTGGGGGTTTCAATAAGTTGTATGGTATAACAGTAACCAATATACTTTCAATAATTTATAAAGTGAAGATATAAAGTATTTTATGGATGACTTTTTCTCTTTTATCACGTCAATACTCATATTTTGTATGGATCAATCTAACAGTTTTCTGATGTATCACTTGAATTCCTGTGGACTAGTGCAAAATGTTATGGAACCTTTCTTATTCAACAAGAATGAACAAAATGAATTTGCAAGTTTAGTTGTTTATTAATATGATTGTAAGTAAGAAATATTTGAACTAAAACAGACCCGTTCCCAGTGAAGGGGGGTAATCCAGCAGTACTGTTTTATATAGTTAACATACCTGAACTAATTATGATATTATTATCCCCATCTGGACTTTCAAATATATTTTCTCCACCACCCATAAAATCTTCATCGTCATCATCATCTACTGCCAATACTGTCTCTCCTTGCTGGCGATTCATGATCAGAGAATATCGAGCATCTTGTTTGTGTTTTCTGTAGAAAAAATATTGTATTTGTAATTGTTCAAATCTAATATTAAATTTTTAATAGATTTATTATCAGCAACTGATGTACCAGTACAATTCTAAACTGATTATCTTGCCCAAAATATTTCTTCTGTTAAATAAGAAGCTTAAACTAATGTATAAATTTACTTTTTAGCAAACTCAAATTTTAGCACTTTATAAAATTTTGCCACTGATTAGCACATTGATGATTTTGGACACCCAAAAAATATGGAAAGGAAAATAATATACAAGACTGTATAGGAATTTAGATTGGTGCAACCATAATTTAGCACAGTTTGAAAGTGCCGAAAGTGCTAAAATAACACTTTTACTAAAATATGTACATTTACAGTTTTTGTTTTATAAACAATGAATAATAACATTTGGTTATTTCAATTACGAAAACAATGGATCAGGTACGAGAATTTTGCTTAAAATCATTCTTTCTATAGACTGCTGCTGCTTATTTTATATATCCCCTGCTATGTATCTATTAACCCATTCACTCCTAACGTCACATTTGAATCTTACCAAATCAACGACTGGGCAAGTCTAATTTGAATATGTAGGGGTGAATGAGTTAAGCACAAATAAAACTTGTTGAATTTCACAGACATGGGCCATATCTGGAAATACATCTAGTCCGAGTGCACTTGTGTAAGGTAAAATGGACAAGGTTTCATCTTGATTTTGCAAAAGGTGAGTAAATAAACCAAGCTAAATTTCTAACAATATTATTCAGTGTAAAAAGTGGACCTACCTTTTGATATACACAATGAGGACAGCTACCAAGGCTCCAACAGCGATCACAATAAGTGGTACGATTATATACACAGAAACTGGAACCGAGGCCGTGGACTTCACCTCCACGGAATGTGTATGCGACACTGTGGATACCTGAAATGTTGGTGATGAGGCTGGCACCCACGATGTTACATTACCTGTACAGGTGAGAGAAGGGAAATTAAGTCACCAGAATTAAAACTATAAGTACAGAAAAACCTGAATATCTATAAGTACAGAAAAACCAGAATATCTATAACTACAGAAAAACCTGAATATCTATAACTACAGAAAATCCTGAATTTAGGGAGAATGTAGAATGAACAGGAGTAAAATAAGAACTGTACATACCTTTTATGATATCTACATTAATGATGCCAATAGCATCATCTGCTGTAATTAACTGGAATCGGATCTGGCTTAAACTGACTTTCTGCTGAAGTTCCTTCACAACCTGAAACAAGAATATTCAGTGACTGAGTGTAAAAATAGCAGTTATATTGACTGTATAGTTGTTATATTTACTGTATTGGAGTTATATTTATTGTATAGTTGTTATATTTACTGAATTGGAGTTATATTTACTGGGAACTGTTACATATCGTATATTTGTTACCCAACAGTCTGAACACTTTCATTAATTGCTAAACTCCTGTGAACCATTTCCAATGTGAACATCAAAATGAGATTAAAATTGATGGTAGTGAACAGAGTTGAGAATTGGGCCATTTTCGTTTAAGCGGTTGAACTGGGTGGACCACAGTTGTTCGTTTATTAAATATGGTCGGACCTAGTAATCTGATACTGCTTTCAGGCGAGCATTGACAAAGCCTTGCAAGGCTTGCATAAACATTTGCAGGTCGGCCAGGATCTATACCCAAAATTGTTACATCAATATGTTAGGACATATACAATGATCACTTAACGAAACTACTATCTAGCAGTTGTCTCCCTTCCAACAGTATTATTTTTATAATTTGATAAATGTTCAAAAATCGATGTAGGGGAATATAGTATAAAGATTTTAAAGTCAACATTCTTATTGTTATTGAAAATAGTGTTAACTGAAATGCTAACAACATTATCTGGATATTTGAATAAGTTAGTGTTTCTTACATATACTACGAAAGACATGGCCCTAATGACCATAGCCATCGATGGGCCGTTAAACACAAACAAACAAACAAACTATGAACGAAGTGCTACAAAAGTTGTCTCCCTAGCATTTTTAGCAACGGAGATTACAACCAGATATCGCAAATTCTGTATTATCCGCTGGAAAGAAATTACTGACGTCACATCTGATAGGCGATCTCAATACGGCAGGCGTTATAAACGCCTCCGTAATAGATTATATATACGATGGGCCTACATTTTTTAGGTTAGTCCTACCTGTTCTACGGAGAGACCACCATGGTCGTTAGGCAATATGGTGAGATCAGCTGTTGTTGGGTGGATTTGAGGGATGGAGACCATCAACCTATTGGACTGTACATACAGCAACTGAATAGAAAAAGAAAACTGGTATTATATTTAGCAATTTTACTTGATTGACATACATTTAATATACCTCGTTTGCCCTAACTATGGGAAATGTACATGGTAACAGATACTTCTATACTGTAAAAGTTGACGTTTCGTAAACTTGGAATTTATCAAGATTGCAGACACTTTAGCATTAGAACAATATAACAAATTCAAAACAATCATAATCCCCCTGCCCACACTCTCTTCCATCCATACTGATACAATTTCAAGTTACATAAAGTGTACCAAGACCCCTGGGCTTAATGACAGTAAAATATATTTGTACTACATTTTGAATCAATCTGCTTGCTCAGTGTGTATAGATACCTCGGACAGCTTGAGACAGATGAGCTGTGATGTGGTGTACCGCCAGTCGAAGCTCCCACTGCTGAAGTGGTCAATGTTGGGAGTGAAATGGAGACGTACTATTGTGATGTTGTCTGCAGCGAAAATGGGTGACAATCAGTGAATGTGACGACACCTTGGTTAAAACAAGTTGTTGGAACATTTGTTGAACAAATGTGTTTACTGCCAGATTATTAAAACAGAAACAGAGTTAAACCAAAAACAATTCAATGTTCGTTACATCTAAAGATATAAGGTAGGGTTGTTTTATCAATTTTGTCACAAATTTCATGCGCCATTGATGATGGTGTGGTGCACTGAGTTCATCATAACAGCTTACTTTTACAGTAGGAAAGTGTGGGAGACAACTCCTTTTTACAGTAGGAAAGTGTGGGAGACAACTCCTTTTTACAGTAGGAAAGTGTGGGAGACAACTCCTTTTTACAGTAGGAAAGTGTGGGAGACAACTCCTTTTTACAGTAGGAAAGTGTGGGAGACAACTCCTTTTTACAGTAGGAAAGTGTGGGAGACAACTCCTTTTTACAGTAGGAAAGTGTGGGAGACAACTCCTTTTTACAGTAGGAAAGTGTGGGAGACAACTCCTTTTTACAGTAGGAAAGTGTGGGAGACAACTCCTTTTTACAGTAGGAAAGTGTGGGAGACAACTCCTTTTTACAGTAGGAAAGTGTGGGAGACAACTCCTTTTTACAGTAGGAAAGTGTGGGAGACAACTCCTTTTTACAGTAGGAAAGTGTGGGAGACAACTCCTTTTTACAGTAGGAAAGTGTGGGAGACAACTCCTTTTTACAGTAGGAAAGTGTGGGAGACAACTCCTTTTTACAGTAGGAAAGTGTGGGAGACAACTCCTTTTTACAGTAGGAAAGTGTGGGAGACAACTCCTTTTTACAGTAGGAAAGTGTGGGAGACAACTCCTTTTTACAGTAGGAAAGTGTGGGAGACAACTCCTTTTTACAGTAGGAAAGTGTGGGAGACAACTCCTTTTTACAGTAGGAAAGTGTGGGAGACAACTCCTTTTTACAGTAGGAAAGTGTGGGAGACAACTCCTTTTTACAGTAGGAAAGTGTGGGAGACAACTCCTTTTTACAGTAGGAAAGTGTGGGAGACAACTCCTTTTTACAGTAGGAAAGTGTGGGAGACAACTCCTTTTTACAGTAGGAAAGTGTGGGAGACAACTCCTTTTTACAGTAGGAAAGTGTGGGAGACAACTCCTTTTTACAGTAGGAAAGTGTGGGAGACAACTCCTTTTTACAGTAGGAAAGTGTGGGAGACAACTCCTTTTTACAGTAGGAAAGTGTGGGAGACAACTCCTTTTTACAGTAGGAAAGTGTGGGAGACAACTCCTTTTTACAGTAGGAAAGTGTGGGAGACAACTCCTTTTTACAGTAGGAAAGTGTGGGAGACAACTCCTTTTTACAGTAGGAAAGTGTGGGAGACAACTCCTTTTTACAGTAGGAAAGTGTGGGAGACAACTCCTTTTTACAGTAGGAAAGTGTGGGAGACAACTCCTTTTTACAGTAGGAAAGTGTGGGAGACAACTCCTTTTTACAGTAGGAAAGTGTGGGAGACAACTCCTTTTTACAGTAGGAAAGTGTGGGAGACAACTCCTTTTTACAGTAGGAAAGTGTGGGAGACAACTCCTTTTTACAGTAGGAAAGTGTGGGAGACAACTCCTTTTTACAGTAGGAAAGTGTGGGAGACAACTCCTTTTTACAGTAGGAAAGTGTGGGAGACAACTCCTTTTTACAGTAAGAAAGTGTGGGAGACAACTCCTTTTTACAGTAGGAAAGTGTGGGAGAATAATGATCAATCACTTCTGTACGATGTATGCAGTGAAATCTCAACCTCCACAGTGATTTTTTAATTCAAGCACTTAGCAAACTGTGCTAACCTTCAGAAATCTAAATCCTCTAGGTGAGATTTTTTCCACATCACACAGGAATGATCGATTCTATAAATCTATTGATCTAAAAAATGTAATGTCTGGTAACCAAAGATAAAAGCCATTCACTGGAAGGACAGCAATTTAAACAGCTGGGCAGACTACAGTGACCAGGGTTAAGAGTTATCTTGGTCAGTATGAAGCAGAGTGTTTTTTGACCAGAAAAATATTTGCGTACCAATCTTGTGTTTATTGACTTTAAAGCAATCTGAGTACTTACTGTAGACATTGATGGGATAAGTGGTCAGTACAGAGCTTACAGAGTTGACAGCTTGGACCGTGACGTTATACTGGCCTGTTTTGTTGTATCTGTGACTGACTGTTGTACTCCAGGTAAGATAAGGATGGGATCCTTCTTCCTAAAATGAAAGCATTATATAAAAAAAAAAAAAAAAAATATTTTAAATATACGAAAACACTAGAAACAGAATGTCACCATATCAAATTGTTTTTTGGAACTTGACTATTTAGTTTTTATTTACAATACACTAAGAAACTTTTGCCGTGTCAAATATTTGCTCTTTGCTGGTAAAATCCATATTATATGATAATGTCATATTGTGATACGGCCATTTGATCGGCAGCCACCACACAGATATATCCAAACAGAGATGTTCAGGTAGGTCTGACCACAAGGAAAGAAGAGATGAAATTAAAAAGTTTGAGATTCCATTATGTATTTCAAATGACATTGTAGCAGAAATTTTTCATGGGCCCCACATTAGTCACCGATTATAAGTATGTAGTGGGACACAGCTGGTATACTATCTCTTACGTCCAAGAGCCTGCAGGGGTACATATTCAACATAGTGTTGAACATGTACTTAAAATTCTTGGTTATAACTATGTCAATTTTTTTACTGGCAAGGAGTTGTCTTGTGAACATCAAGATATTTAACAAATTAAGTCTACAGTGAACTAATGTCATACTTCCCTGGGGTAAGTTAGTTATATAAACGTTTTTTCCTGTTGTACAGACCTCGTCTCCATATCTCCACACAAAATGTGTAGGTCCAAAGTCGGTCTGGTTCCTGCTACAGCACAGAGTCACGTTAAACTGGGTCAGTCGTCCAACCTCGGCTCCCCAGGGAGCTAGGGCTAGTACAGCTGTGATATTAGCTGCAAAAATGAAATCAATTAGTCCTTTATCTATAAATGTTTGATTGTTTTAAAAGAGCATCTGTCAAATTAAACAAATGTCTACAAAGGGGTGTAATTCTTTTCCAAAGATGTTTGATTATCAAATGTCCACATAGAATGTAACTCCTCTCCAAAGATGAATAGGTACAATGACAAATAAACACTTATCATTTTATTAAAGATACATTATGTACTTTTTCATGACCAAATATGACCATATTTCAAATTTCAAGCTGTCACATATATATGTTTAACATACACTAAATCACTTTTAGAAAACATGGTGAAAATTGGTGGCACAGTGGAGCGCACTTGCCTTTCACCAAGATGACCAGGGATTGACACCCCAATCAAATGTGGATAGGTTATAGGTTATAGGTCACCAGCTGCCCACCCATGTGGGTTCTCTCTGTGTACTCACATTTCCTCCCACATTAAGGCCCCCCTGTGCGCTTTCCTCTGCACCAATAGACTGCTTAACATAAGGTGTTGTTTTTTCATAAGTTTATATTAAAATAGTAACAACCTGGAACCCTTCTGACTTGTCTGACACCTCAAATGTACGAGTAAACAAACACCAAACTTACCTTCTACACTCATCAGAACTCGACACACAGCACTACCGTTTGTGTTCATGGCGATCACTGTGACATTGAAATAGCCAGTCTTGGTGTACCGGTGGTACTTTCTAGTGGTATTGGCTAGTCCTGTGTCCACTTCACTCCGGCCATTATCACTGAATGACCAAGTATAGGTCGTCCCTAACTTTGACCCCTAGTCAACAAAAGTTACAAATTAATTTCAAATTTTGACACCATTAAACATGTGTCTCATTAATAAATGTATTTATCGTTTTTCCGATGATTTAATTGTGAGAATTTGAATTCGAGGAGAAGCATATCAACTACATACTGAAGATTTCATAATTCATTTAATAATTTAACAAGTAATAGTGAGCATCAACTGCAAGCTTGAGTGTAACACAAACTATTATTCATAAATAGAGTAAGACATATACTTGGAATGAAACCAGAATTCCTATTCTCACGAATTAGAACAGACAGAAAAATTTGTGAAAAACAGTATACAGGAAATATCAGTTCTCTACTGTTAAGTTTCCTTGCCTTAGTGTAGCTTGATAAACTATCACTACATACTGGTTTATATTATTTCCTGATCAACTCAACTCGCAAAAATATCTATCCCCCAAAATGCAATTAGGTTCCAGTAAGAAGAGATTCTTTCAAAAATACCTGTCTCAAAAAGCACACAAGCAGATCACAGTAACCCGATATTCTCCCAAAAATATCTATCTCACAAAACACATCTAACTTACAGTAACCAGACATTCTTTCAAAAGTAACTATCTCCCGAAACACGAGTAGGTTCCAGTAAGCAGAACTTTTCTCAAAATATCTATCTCACAAAACTTAATTAAGGTTAACGTAACCAGAACTTCTCTCAAAATATCTATCTCACAAAACACAAGTATGTTTTAGTGACCAGAAGTTCTGCAAAAAATATCTTTCTCACAAAACACATGTAAGTAAAAGAAACAGGGAAAATCCTGGAGTTTGAGAGCAGTGAGCCATTTCCTCAATTTGTAGTCAATATCAAAAGTAAGAGGGGGCCATTCTATGTAAAATTAAAAGAAAATTGGAACATGGAGGGGTCAATTTCAGTTTTGAGGAGTCCATGGCCCCATGACCCCCTCCAGGATAATCCCTGGAGTAACCAGAATTCTTTCAAAAGTATCTATCTTCCAAAACACAAGTAGAATCCAGAGGTAAGTAGAGGTTCTCTCAAAAAGTATATATCTCTCAAAACACTAGAAGATTACAGGAACCAGAATTTCTCGCAAAAATGTCTATCTCAGAAAAGTAGGATCCAGCTACCAGAAGGAGGTTCTTACTGATTTCTGAGTGAGGGTGAAGATGGCATTGGTTCCCAAGGCGATAGTAGTTTTAGAAGTTGAGAGCATCAGCCCCCGGGGAGCAGCGACAGGACATGGGGTAGGGACTGACCGGTACATACTGGATGTTGAGAGGCCTCCGGTACACTTGTCCGACGCAATCAGTCGGTACCTGGATATGCAAGTCACAAATCAGGTAATTAATACAAAGCCTTGATTATTCTGTACAGTTAAACACATTTCATCATGAACCCCAGCATACGTAAGAAATAAGTTTGCCGTAATGGATGCTAAGTTTGTTTTGAACACAAACAGGAATAGAAATCATATTTTGGGAGTTTTCGAAAATGTCTATTTCCTTTGTCAAACAAAGAGTTAAGCCAAGTTAAATGAAACTGAATCTTATTCTGAATAGAATATTTGATTAATCTCCCTATTCTATAAGGAGACTCAGAAATGTCTACCCTTGTTTATGACATTTGAAACAAAAACAATATCCCTGTGTTTTGTATTTTTCCTCAAATCCAATTAAATAATTATCTAAGAGCTTGAACTTTGTCATTTTAAGCTATGTTTTGTGCTACAGGAATCATTGTAACCCCCTTTTAGAGAAATGTAACAAGGACACATTATTACAAGAGAGGACAGCTTTTGGATCAACAACAAAATATCAACTAACTTCACTCCAATAGCCAATAATCAACGTCAGTTTACGAAGAAAAGTTATCTTCTGTGCTTTGTGAGTGGGGAAATTTGTGTGTTGTGAACTTTGTGTGAATGTATGAGTTTATTTGTGTAACAGGAAAGAGAATAGTGTGCTTCCACCGGGGATCGAACCCTCGATCTCCAGGTTCCTAGTTGGACGCTCTACCACTGAGCTAAAGGGAAATTCCCTCTAGTTCGAAGCTAGAAGGCGACCTTAATCCTATGTACAATTGCATTGAACCCTGCCACATTTGCATACAGGTGTGATCAATGACCATCTGGTGAGCTGTTATTCACATACATGTATGATAATGATATATTTGGGTGAGAGATGGTCATTTTGAATTTTAATAATAAATATTAAGTCATTATACATACCCTCTGGTTTTGTTGTACATCTCGCCTTCCTTACAGTGCCAGTGTATATTGGAGTGGTCGTACCAGCTCGTCGGGGTACAGTCTCCAGTCATAGTCTTCTCATAGCCGTAGTCACTGTGAGACGTCAAACAATTATAAGTACCAACCTGTTTCAGAAACATATAGTACAGTTTCTATCATTCCCCTAGTGCTTCCATTTACTAGGTGCCAGCAATTGTATGCCTACTGAGATAGTCTTCACTTTCTCCCTGATATGGTGGGAGAGCTCAGGGTCTTTTACAAACAGTTATCAATATTTACATTTCTACCGCAAGTTCCTCTTATAAGCATTACCAGAAGAAATTGCATTCATAGGGCTATGGTAACAATTGGATCAAAGTCATTTTGAAGCTTCTCCTCTGGCCTAGAACAACATGAGACGACCGTTAGAAGCAAACATTTTGATTTCAGGAATCTTGTTTACACTGACGACAGAGACATTTCAATATCCAAACTATAAAGGAATATCTGTATTTAGGTCAATAATAGCTAAAAATGTACAATGTAAATATAAGGATTGAACAGCACTTTTTCGATATTCATGCCGGTATGAATACAAATCAGTTACATACATATTTACCATGAGCAGGCTTCATGAATGATGTACGAAACCAATTTGCGTTCATACCATATATGAAGATAAATTCAACCTAGCATGCTTTTCTATCTGTACACAAACTTGTTTCTGAGATTATATCATTTGCATATCAATTGTTTTCCTTAGAAATTATCTAAAATTGTCACATCAATAAACACCTTATCTAGCTAGACATCACAATTTACCATTCAAAATCAGAAGGTCTGCAGAGACAGATGGAAGCTGGTTTCTTTCTTATATAGTTTGGTCCATTGTAACATTTTGAGAATTGATTCCGTCTCTCGTATGTGACGGCCTGTCCCATGATGCAATTGTGCTGAGAAATCTGTAACAGATATGTAAGATCTGAAGGTTATGTGCTACCTTACACACTAAAACCATGATATATGTTAAATCTATTTCCAACAGTACCTAAAATCATCATCTCAATGTGTCCCCTCCCCACCCGTTCCTGGAATAGTCCCCTCCCCACCCGTTCCTGGAATAGTCCCGTCCCCACCCGTTCCTGGAATAGTCCCCTCCCCACCTGTTCCTGGAATAGTCCCCTCCCCACCCGTTCCTGGAATAAGTCATCTGGGTGGTCTTTAACCTTCAAATTATAATCCAAATGTGCTGAAGGACATCACTTACGTCATTTAGGAAGTGAACTTGCTTGTTCTGGATTTAATATCGTTACAACAGCTATGTCGTATAATGACAACTGTATCCACTAGTGAGGGGGTCGTACAATAGCTAAGGTCTTATGAGGACAGTTCCTCCCACAATTTACAGATTTGTCTCCCATTTTACTTGTTCAAAATATCCCTGTAAGCCCCTAAGGTATTATTTTTCTGTCATCCTCTAGGGGCATCATTTCTCTGTCACCTCTGGAGTATGATTTTCCTGTCACCTACTATGGTATGATTTCTCTGACATCCCCTAGGGTATGATTTCCCTGTCACCCCTAGGGTATGATTTCCCTGTCACCCACTATGGTATCATTTCTCTGTCATCCCCTAGGGTATGATTTCCCTGTCACCCCTAGGGTATGATTTCACTGTCACCCCCTAGGGTATGATTTCCCTGTCACCCACTAGGGTATGATTTCTCTGTCAACCCTAAGGTATGATTTCTCTGTCACCCCTACGGTGTGATTTCTCTGTCACCCACTATGGTATTATTTCTCTGTCATCCCCTAGGGTATGATTTCTCTGTCATCCCCTAGGGTATGATTCCCCTGTCACCCCCTAGGGTATGATTTCCCTGTCACCCACTAGGGTATGATTTCTCTGTCAACCCTAAGGTATGATTTCTCTGTCATCCCCTAGGGTATTATTTCTCTGTCACCCCCTAGGGTATGATTCCCCTGTCACCCACTATGGTATGCTTTCTCTGTCACCCACCATGGTATGATTTCTCTGTCACCCACTATGGTATGGTTTCTCTGTCACCCACTATGGTATGGTTTTCCTGTCACCCACTATGGTATGATTTCCCTGTCACCCACTATGGTATGATTTCTCTGTCATCCCCTAGGGTATGATTTCCCTGTCACCCCTAGGGTATGATTTCCCTGTCACCCACTATGGTATCATTTCTCTGTCATCCCCTAGGGTATGATTTCCCTGTCACCCCTAGGGTATGATTTCTCTGTCATCCCCTAGGGTATGATTTCCCTGTCACCCACTAGGGTATGATTTCTCTGTCAACCCTAAGGTATGATTTCTCTGTCATCCCCTAGGGTATTATTTCTCTGTCACCCCCTAGGGTATGATTCCCCTGTCACCCACTATGGTATGCTTTCTCTGTCACCCACCATGGTATGATTTCTCTGTCACCCACTATGGTATGGTTTCTCTGTCACCCACTATGGTATGGTTTTCCTGTCACCCACTATGGTATGATTTCTCTGTCACCCACTATGGTATTATTTCTCTGTCATCCCCTAGGGTATGAGTTCTCTGACATCCCCTAGGGTATGATTTCCCTGTCCCCCCTAGGGTATTATTTCTCTGTCATCCCCTAGGGTATGAGTTCTCTGACATCCCCTAGGGTATGATTTCCCTGTCCCCCCTAGGGTATTATTTCTCTGTCATCCCCTAGGGCATGATTTCTCTGTCATCCCCTAGGGTATGATTTCTCTGACATCCCCTAGGGGATGATTTCTCTGTCACCCACTATGGTATTATTTCTCTGTCATCCCCTAGGGTATGAGTTCTCTGACATCCCCTAGGGTATGATTTCCCTGTCCCCCCTAGGGTATTATTTCTCTGTCATCCCCTAGGGTATGAGTTCTCTGACATCCCCTAGGGTATGATTTCCCTGTCCCCCCTAGGGTATTATTTCTCTGTCATCCCCTAGGGCATGATTTCTCTGTCATCCCCTAGGGTATGATTTCTCTGCCATCCCCTAGGGTATGATTTTCCTGTCACCCACTATGGTATGGTTTCCCTGTCACCACTAAGGTATGATTTCTCTGTCACCCACTATAGTATGATTTCCCTGTCACCCACTATGGTATTATTTCTCTGTCATCCCCTAGGGTATGATTTCCCTATCACCCCTAGGGTATTATTTCTCTGTCATCCCCTAGGGTATGATTTCTCTGCCATCCCCTAGGGTATGATTTTCCTGTCACCCACTATGGTATGGTTTCCCTGTCACCCACTATGGTATGGTTTCCCTGTCACCCGCTATGGTATGATTTCTCTGTCACCCACTATGGTATTATTTCTCTGTCATCCCCTAGGGTATGATTTCCCTGTCACCCACTATGGTATTATTTCTCTGTCGCCCCCTAGGGTATGATTCCCCTGTCACCCACTATGGTATGGTTTCCCTGTCACCCACTATGGTATGGTTTCCCTGTCACCCACTATGGTATGGTTTCCCTGTCACCCGCTATGGTATGATTTCTCTGTCACCCACTATGGTATTATATCTCTGTCATCCCCTAGGGTATGATTTCCCGGTCACCCACTATGGTATTATTTCTCTGTCGCCCCCTAGGGTATGATTTCCCTGTCACCCTAGGGTATGATTTCCCTGTCACCCCTAGGGTATTATTTCTCTGTCATCCCCTAGGGTATGATTTCCCTGTCACCCTAGGGTATGATTTCCCTGTCACCCCCTAGGGTATGGTTTCCCTGTCACCCCCTAGGGTATGATTCCCCTGTCACCCACTATGGTATGATTTCCCTGTCACCCACTATAGTATGATTTCTCTGTCACCCCCTCGGGTATGATTTCCCTGTCACCCTCTAGGGTATGATTTCTCTGTCACCCACTAGGGTATGATTCCCCTGTCACCACCTAGGGTATGATTTCTGTGTCATCCCCTAGGGTATGATTTCCCTGTCACCCCCTAGGGTATGATTTCCCTGTCACCAACTATAGTATGATTTCTGTGTCATCCCCTAGGGTATGATTCCCCTGTCACCCCTAGGGTATGATTTCCCTGTCACCCACTATGGTATCATTTCTCTGTCATCCCCTAGGGTATGATTTCCCTGTGACCCACTATGGTATGATTTCCCTGTCACCCCTAGGGTATGATTTCCCTTTCACCCACTAAGGTATGATTTCTCTGTCATCCCCTAGGGTATGATTTCCCTTTCACCCACTAAGGTATGATTTCCCTGTCACCCCCTATGGTATGATTTCTCTGTCACCCCTCAGGTGTGATTTCTCTGTCACCCACTAAGGTATGATTTCCCTGTCACCCCTAGGGTATGATTTCCCTGTCACCCCTAGGGTATGATTTCCCTTTCACCCACTAAAGTATGATTTCCCTGTCATCCACTAAGGTATGATTTCCCTGTCATCCACTATGGTATGATTTCTCTGTCATCCCCTAGGGTATGGTTTCCCTGTCACCCACTATGGTATGATTTCCCTGTCATCCACTATGGTATGATTTCTCTGTCACCCCCTAGGGTATGATTCCCCTGTCACCCACTATGGTATGATTTCCCTGTCATCCACTAAGGTATGATTTCTCTGTCATCCACTATGGTATGATTTCTCTGTCATCCCCTAGGGTATGATTTCTCAGTGTTTAAACCTCACCGTAGTTAAAGATTCTACTGGTTTAAAGATTCTACTGGTCCACCGGTGATGGAGTCAGTCTCAATGGCCATTTTATACTACAACCTTAGCTTGACACTGACACCTGACAATGGCTGATCACTGACACATAATATATATGATATTGTAAGTTAAGTATTTGACAACATACTTTTGCTCCAGGGCTCCAATCCAGGTAGTCCATCAATGTACACTGCCTGGTCAATACCTGGGAAAAGTCTAGCTTGACCATCAGTCGTCCCTTCTCTCCTCCAAGTCGTCCAAACACACTGCATAAGACAACAATGCTCGTTTTATTGGACAGAATATTTTACATGCCCTGACCTGTATATTTTGTTTGATTTGATTTGTTAGTGGTTTACACATCCTATCAACAGCTATGGTCATTTAAGGACGTGCCAGGTTTTGCTATGGAGGAAAGCCAGAGTTCCTGTGGAGAGTAAACCACCAGTACCTCAGGCGACAGCCCCACATACGCCTCAAACCCACAACCTAGTGATCATAGATGGTCGGGCACTTTAACCACTTGGCCACCCCCTCCCCCCAACCTTTATGTTTACTCAGAGGGTAAAGTCTCCACACCAAATAATATTCCAAATAAGTGGTTTGCATACCTTACAACCAGTGTTGTAATGTCAGGACTGTTGAGTATACCGTCAACATAGATTTCTTTGTCTGCAAACTTGTGTGTCTGCCAAGTAGTTCCCTCATCACTGGAAAAACTATAAAAAAGAAAAATATAATCCACATTTTTTGTTCATATATAAGCATCCTAGGTACTCCAGGTGTTACACTCACCTTCGCTCTCTGCACCCCTGGAATATGTCATAGCAAAATCGAAGGTTAAGTGTGCACCACCTTGTTAATGAGACGGACTAGTTTGATCCTTTGGTGTACATCAAAAGAAGCTCACGGTCACGTAATGGTAAATTTTATCGGCTTTGAAGTCTGGCGTCGCTCCACTATAATCTTCAAAGTGGACAAGTATCAGCCTAGTGATTGGTCAGGTTTATTTTACCTGACACCAATCAAATAGCTAGCCGTGTGTCTTCAATTTTGTCATGACATATTCCAGGGGTGCAGAGAGCGAAAGTGAATGTACCGGTAATACCTGAAGTATCGAGGATGGTATAAACTTAGTCAATAGGTAAGCAATTCAAACTCAGAAAGTGTTGAACAGGAGAAACACAGAGCACCAGGACTCTCTACCCTTACACAGACAAAATCTAGAAAAGAACCTCTGGTGGAACAAACATTTTAAGACCCACTCATTTTATTTTTATTTCTTTTCTCTTTTAAATCTCAGTTTGTTTAGTACATTGTATTCCTATAGTGGTCTGAAACCTGCTGTTGTTTTGGCAAGAATTGCCAGACAAGAAACGCTAAACCCACTCACTGTACGATGTTGGTGAGTTCCTTATTGCTGTACTGGATGGCAGTGACGGCTCCACCATGGTCAATGATGTTCATCCTGTATTGACCGTCCAGTGGGGGCTACAATAACGCCAATATCATCATGACATTGTCAACATTTCCTTTAATTTAGACATTATTTGATGTACATCTTATAATTTTACAATTTTTCATGCAACAAATTTATAATGAAGATAAGTATGATCAAATACCTTATGATAGCTATAAAGCTCTAAATTTTGATATTTTGGTGTTAATTTCAGAAAGAGATAAAAAACAAACCATTAAATATAAACTTATGAAGTCAATTTAACTACCTTTGACCAGGTGAGTCCAGCATCCCTGCTGACATAGAGCTGGGCCTGGTGTGGGTTTAGGCTGTTTCCAATGGAGCCATGGGCAAAAATCAGCCAGGGGGCGCCCTCCTCTGCCTCTATCCTTGGCGTCGTGTAGTATACATTACTGTACGTCAGATGGAGGTGTAGACTACAGAACTGTTGAGGGAACCAGATATATGTACAGGAATGTACTAGTGTAAAGTAATAGTAGCTGTCAAAAGAACCAGATATCTGTATGGAATGTACTAGTGTAAAGTAATATCAGCTGTCAAAAGAACCAGATATCTGTACGAAATGTACTAGTGTAAAGTAATATTTGCTATCAAGTGAACCATATATCTGTACAGGAACATACTAGTGTAAAGTAATATCAGCTGTCAAGAGAACCATATATCTGTACGGAACATACTAGTGTGAAGTAATATCAGCTGTCAAGAGAACCATATATCTGTACAGAACATACTGGTGTAAAGTAATATTAGCTGTCAAGAGAACCATATATCTGCATGGAAAATACTGGTGTAATGTAATATTATCTGTCAAGAGAACCATATATCTGTAAATGAACATACTTGTGTAAAGTAATATCAGCTGTCAAGAGAACCATATATCTGTACAGGAACATACTTGTGTAAAGTAATATCAGCTGTCAAGAGAACCATATATCTGTACAGGAACATACTTGTGTAAAATAATATTATCTGTCAAGAGAGCCATATACATCTGTACAGGAACATACTGGTGTAAAGTACAACACAGGGGCTCGTTACATTGCCTAATATTGATGTATTTTTGTTAGATGTATATACATATAACACAGACTCCACAGATGGAATTTAATTCGGAATAATAAAACAGTTATTGCCCTGGTGTGAGGGAGACCTGAAGAGTTGTTCCCCCTCGATAAATCATGTTTCCCTCGGGCTTTGCTCTCGAGAAACATGATCTATCTCGGGGAAACAACTCTTCAGGTCTCCCTCACACTAGGGCAATAAGTGCATAAAGTTTTATCTTATTTTCTACCACAAATATCTAGTTGTGTGTGATTGATCCCCCACCCCACCCCTCCTAAAACACCTGTGTATTTCAATAGATATGGAAATCACAAAGCATGATCTGCTGCAAAATACTTACATTAGGGTCAACACATTTAGATTTCTGGTCCTTTGGTACTTGAATCGGTACCCAATTACCTCCCTTGTCATAGGAAATAAACGTTTTTATGACCGTGGAGTTTCCTGCTGTCCAGTATTGGTTTGCTATGTATCGTCCTCTGATTCCTTTAACCTGGAAAATAAAAAATGTCCTTTTGTCCTGATTGGTTTTTTTTAACTTCAACAGGTCAAAGCAAACATTTGCAAATAACATGTTTATTCTTACTACTATGCAGTGGTAAGTAATTTTCATTTGTTGATAAACTGAATAGCTCTGTGTTTCTTACCTTATAAATGTCTACATCGAGGTAGCCCGGCTCCACATCAGCGACCACCCTCTCCAGGCAAGGTACATAAAACTGACCCGTAACGTCGGAGAGGTACAAAGTCACCATATTCTCCTTGTGATCAGCTGCTATGAATACCTGGTTATCTGACGTCTCAATGATGTCAAAATCCTGTCACCAAATAATATATATATACATGAATTATTCTTCATATCTACACGAGATTTAGTAAAACAAAGACTCATTATCAATTTTGCAAAATTTAATGAAACTTAAAATTTTGCCACTTAAATGTACTTGACTTTGAAAATCAAACTTTACAGGTTTCTAATGTAGAATTTTAGCACTTTTCAGGCTTTTAACATTTTATTAATTTATGATCATGTATATATTTAATGTTTCTGCAGACGTGTAGCTACCTATATTCTGGTACACAGGTGAACCTACCAAGTATTCAAACAGAAAAACAAAACAGAACAAAAACACCGCTTGTTGTACCCCCTTGTGTCCCTAACAAGGCCCTGCCCTGGACCTGCCCCTAAATGAATCCACTCCGAACAAGGGATATCTTTGTCCCTGTTCTGTATGTAGTTTTCATTTGCTTATATTGTGAGTATGCCAATTTGTCAATACGCTAGTCTGTTCAAACTTGATAACATGCTATAATTATTGTCAGCTAAAAAGGTTTTCTTCATTAATAGTAGATTTATACCTTTGGATGGACATTTAAAGGGAAGTAAGCCCTTCGGAACGGCCCTCTCTTATAGGACACATACAGGTCGTGGCTGGTGTAGGTGGATTTCTGGAAAGATTTAAATGAAGTCATTATTGTATCATCTTAAAATTCTTGTTATAATGTCAAAATCTAAACCATGTCAGTCTCGCATTTTAAAGATCAAGATTTGTTATATAACACAAATAAAATCGCTCTAGAAACTCACTAACATGAACTGCAATCACAAGTCACAGACCAATCAAATAAATTTACACTTTGAATTCACCTGTACAAATATATATTCTAACTCACCTCTACAAATATATATTCCAACTCACCTGTACAAATATATATTTTGAACTCACCTGTACAAATATATACCCTAACTCACCTGTACAAATATATATTCGTTGTGTACTTTAAGAGACATAAAATTGATGGTGCCAACACTTTTGTCCGGGGTATTGTCAATACACGTTGGGGCAATGCAGGACATATATTCCGAGTTCATGTCATCTGGTGAAAAAAATTAGCACAACTTAGACCTCGATTCAAAATATGTTTATGCATAGCATGATATATTAAACAACAATATCTTACTGGTTATTTTTCTTAATTCAATATACTTTTTCATATTTGATTTCAATTCTGGTAAAACAATATATATCAACTTAAGTCTAATCAAGCAATCCCTGTGGGATCTTGATGTCTGCCACCATAGAAAGGTCATTGAATGTTGCTGGTATGTATTGGGTTCTTCTCTCTGTACTTCCCTGTTCACTATACTTGAACAATGTACTGGAGAGATCATGAAAATTACATTGCAACATTATCTTAAAAGGGCTTGTTCTAATGCTGGGTATTCTATCCATATCAAATTGGAGCTTGGACAGATAAGACCGATTAGCCTTAACCAGCTTTTCCCCAGGCCAGCCTTTTCCATGTTAAGCTCTGGTCAACTGTTCCATTGTAGCCCCTAATACACCACCTTGCCAAGCGTTTTCCATGCTTATCCCTGACCATGCCTTCAGTCTGATGTACAGTACCGGACAGTGTTGCCCTTGTGTACACTTGCCAAGTCTTTCTCCTGCCCATCCCCTGCAAACATCCCCCCCCCCTTCCCTATCTCTATCCCATTCCTTCTATTCTCTCATTCCTCCACTTCTTCCTCCCCCTCCTCTTATTCTCTCATTCCTCGTCCACCTCCCTATCCCAACCGCTCTATTCTCTCACTCCTCCTCCTCTTCCTCCTTCTCCAATCCCTTCTATTCTCTCGTTCCTCATCCTTCTCCTCCTTCTCCTCCTCCTCCAATCCCTTCTATTCTCTCGTTCCTGATCTTCCTACTCATTCTCCTCCTCCCTATCCCATCCCTTTTATTCTCTCACTCTTCCTCCTCCTCCAATTCCTTCTATTCTCTCGTTCCTGATCCTCCTAGTCCTTCTTCTCCTCCTCCAATCCTTTCTATTCTCTCGTTCCTAATCCTCCTACTCCTTCTCCTCCTCCCTATCCCATCCCTTTTATTCTCTCACTCCTCCTCCTCTTCCTCCTCCTCCAATTCCTTCTATTCTCTCGTTCCTAATCCTCCTACTCCTTCTCCTCCTCCTCCAATCCTTTCTATTCTCTCGTTCCTAATCCTCCTTCTCCTCCTCCTCCAATCCCTTCTATTCTCTCGTTCCTCATCCTTCTCCTCCTTCTCCTCTTCCTCCAATCCCTTCTGTTCTCTTGTTCCTAATCCTCCTACTCATTCTCATTCTCCTTCCTATCCCATCCCTTTTATTCTCTCACTCCTCCTTCTCCTCCTCCTCCACTCCCTTCTATTCTCTCATTCCTAATCCTCCTACCCATTCTCCTTCCTATCCCATCCATTTTATTCTCTCACTCCTCCTCCTCTTCCTCCTCCTCCAATTCCTTCTATTCTCTCGTTCCTGATTTTCCTACTCATTCTCCTCCTCCCTATCCCATCCCTTTTATCCTCTCACTCCTCCTCCTCTTCCTCCTCCTCCAATTCCTTCTATTCTCTCGTTCCTAATCCTCCTGCTCCTTCTCCTCCTCCCTATCCCATCCCTTTTATTCTCCCACTCCTCCTTCTCCTCCTCCTCCACTCCCTTCTATTCTCTCATTCCTAATTCTCCTACTCATTCTCCTTCCTCTCCCATCCCTTTTATTCTCTCACTCCTCCTTCTCCTCCTCCTCCAATCCCTTCTATTCTCTTGTTCCTAATCCTCCTACTCATTCTCCTTCCTATCCCATCCCTTTTATTCTCTCACTCCTTCTTCTCCTCCTACTCCAATCCCTTCTATTCTCTTGTTTCTCCTCCTTCTCCTCCTTCTCCTCCTCCCTATCCCTTCCCTAATTTTCTCTCGTTCTCCTCCCCCTCCCACGGTAGTTACCATCAGCATGACTTACCCATTATATTCTGATACTCAAAGTGTACTGTCAATGGGTTTTCATCCTCTCCTTCTACTGCCCTTCAAATATACACAAACTCTTATCATTTTTCTACATCATCAAAACTTATCACCACATAGTTTCTACAATCTTGTAATTTTGTAGAAATCTTCCTAAATTTGAAACAATTTCATAACCCAAATCTTAATTCCCTGATGAGGAAAGTGTTTTCAAAAATGTTGACAAGTATTATTGTAATAACATAATATTGACATGTACAAATTATATTATAAACATCCTGTTTTACTGTCTGACACTTTGATCAATCTCAGGAAAACTGAAATATATTACCAGCCATTCAGGGATTCCTCCCTCCCTTGATCATGATTTGGGTCTATTAATAGGACCAAATTCTATTGAAAATTGGCCCCATTTTTTCACTTTGTCACACAAGTTTAAGTTTTGATGTAGTTTCTCTGAAATTATCAGTCTTTTTTCTGATAATTAATGAATTTTATAAAACCATTTATCGTAGATGTGGTAACATGTGGTGGCTAGCTACCATGTTTATTTATTTACATCTACCGGGTAGTTAATTTTCAAATTGTTTACAAACTGATTAAAACAAACGTTGCATAGCCAAAAAATGTTAACCAACTCCTAACTATTTATCCAACGGTTCAGTAGCAGAGAGACAAATACGTAGACTAATGTAGTAGTTATGGGAAAATTGTATTTCAATTCCCAATTTTTCAGCATTTAAAAACTTCTCAACCTTCAAAGTTACAACAATGATTTCTCCCAATTTGGACCAAAAGTCAGTTGTTTCACTCAGTGTTAAACCCATCTATACACTTTTGAATAATATTTGAAGTTGAGTTATCTTAAAAGACTTCCTGTACTGGATAATAAACAAAACAACTGGGTTTTACATCATACTAGTTAACAGGATTTAAACACATTGAAATTTGCATACTCAATGATCAATTAAACAGACGCAAAAAAAATTCTGAATGATTTCTTTTCACTTAGCGTGATAACAGATTAATTCAATTAGCATATAAACAATGCCCAAGGCTAAAATTTAAATGCATTCAATTTGATCTTTTTTGCATAATTAACAATAATGTAAATGTATCTGTCGTTGAAATACTGAAATATATTATATAGTCACCAGTAGATTTGCATCGCAACATCTTCCTTTAAAACCGTCCATGTTTTTCCAAGGTCAGATGAAACGTACAACTATAAATCAAAACAGAATATAATGAATATTAATTTGAAGGAAGACCAAAAAATATTTGTTTGATTGAAAGCATTTTAGGTGTTTTTTTTGTTTTCAATCATTGCATACTAAGATAGTCTATGCATACAAATTAGATAGTACTGGGATAAACTGCATTTTGATCAAAATATAAAGTTCTATGATCAGAAAACAATGTACAGAGTATACTACTGTAATGAGTTCAGATATATCTAAGATATAGTTATTCCAAATTTCATTCGACATGATATTTAAACTATTCCGTCTTTGCGTATTGCAGAGTTATCTTCTCTTGGGAGCAGGGATTGATTGTTACGTCACTTGTTTGTGAGAGAAACGTCATCAATTTTTGAGAAAACGACGTAATTTTCTCACACAGACCAATGACGTAACAATCAATACCTGCTCCCAAGAGAAGATAACTCTACAATACGCAAAGACTGAATAAACTGCTTTGAAGAGTGATTTATAATGCGTCAAACATGTAGTTTGACTTACTGTAATTAGATTTTTGTGGCAAAGATCAGCATTTTTGTCAGCAAATTGTTCATCAGATAAAATTTTAAAGACATAATATACGGTTGTCTGACATTTATTTAACAACAATGCTGCAAGATCAAAAGCTTTCACAAATTCACCATAAGCTATAACATCCAACCTGACCGATGAAAACACATGTATGTATATATATATACACCTGCAAGTCTGATCAATCCTACTTTAAATGCTGTTGATGACTGAACACTTCAGACCCCCCTCTACAGTCTGTCGTTACCTCATTATTTACTGTGCCCACTGTAGCTTTACAGCCTGTGTTTTTATTTTGACAACAAGGTAAGTTTTCTTGCACCTTAAAACTTGCAAAGTTGCGACCTATTTAGGAACAATCTTACATACTTTCTCATTTAATTTTGCAAGTGCAATGTGCGATATGAGATCACATGGTATGTAAGTTATCCTCAAATTTCAAGGATTTACTCGCACTAAGGTTCTCAGCACCCCTGAAATCTATATCATGACAAAACTTAATGCACACATCTAGCAACTTGATAACTTTCAGGTAAAAACTGTACCTAGTAAGTGAAAGTAACTCTGGAATTTTGAGGATGATGGGATCTATGTTATTTTTTTTTAAATGACTTTGACCTTTACAATCACTATCATGATCCTTTTTTCAACTGACCTTATACATCATGATTGTGTACCCAAGGACCCAGTTTTCCAAGGTCGGATGCATGTACAGTTTTTCTGGTTCGAATCCGATTTGTGACGTGGCCCATGTCTTGCCCTCATCTTCTGAGATATACAGACACGGATGTATTTGGTCAGTTAAAATTATCTGAAACAGAAGATGTTTAAAATATATTTGCAACAATCAATAAAATGTTAATTTCACAAATATGATTTGATCAGCATAGATGTCGGTGCTCAATTACTACAGGTTTTAAATAACATATAGATTAATTTCAAAGTTAAAATGTGATAATAAAGACCAACTTCAAAAGTAGCAGCTTTCACCCTTATCAGGGCTCTTCAGGTTTATTTCAAAAGGACAACATCGTGACGTCACAAATCACAATTACATGTCATCTCACTACAATAGTAACGTGACGTCACAATGCAATTACATGTCATCACCAGCACATTCATGAACATGTTTGATACATTATAAGGACTAATACATATACATATTTTTATTTTTGTCAAACAAATTTTAACAAAAAGGATCAATCAATTCCTGATCAAATATATAGAAAGGGCCTTAACTTATAATTACTGTCTGATTTTTATGTCATTTTGAAATGATCGTAATTTTAGGAATTCTAAAACTTAAAATGTTCACATTATATTATAGCCAACCATGAGAAAACACAAATATTATATAGGTAATTCTGTGATAAATGTCTCTACAATTCAATCAGGTAAGGAAAAGCCTTTAATAATTTAGACTGCTGGCAGGGTTCATTGAGTACATGCCCTACTTCACAGGTATTCAGCATTTTTCATCCAATCAGGTGATGGTAAATAGGTACAAATTGAACAGGTGATCATCATATGACTATGATTATCTGAGGAACATGTTATTGGTATAATGTCATCACAGTAAAATATTCTTTCACTATCTCCTGCAGCAACACAGGATTCAAATAATGAAAGATGGGCCTTAATATATAGTTACTTGAGTTGTAATACCATTGTTATTTGTTGTTGTGATGTGACTAAGAGAAATAGAATAATCATATGTAACCCAAGTATGGTTTTTGGCTGTGGATTCACTGATGTTGGGGGAGTAAGTGACCCATGAGTTATTCACAGGTATTCACAACTTTGATGAAGAACTTTAGGAACGTTCGATCAATGAACTTTAAACTTGGATATCTGGGTCAAAAGAAGAATATTGCTGAAATTTTAACCAATGTGACCCATTTTTGCCTTGCTCCTCAGGCCCCTGGGTGAAAGTAAATCCATATATATAATACACAATTATATTTTGCCTTTGGCCATGCATAGTACCTTCATAGAAAAAAAAGGTTTTGTAGTTTCGAAAAAGAAATAAAATATGTGAATTGCGCGTAACCATTCTGTTCTAAACCTTATTGAGGGAGTTTGTATTTTTCAAACCTAAACATGTAGAATGGCTTAAAACATTTAAGTTTATATTTTGACAATTTTAAGAAATCCCAAAGTACTTTTTTATCAATGTCATCTTAAGTTGGCCATGCTCTGAAAGAATGCAAGTTAAAAGATGACATTTGACAAATTTTCACTAATTATACCTCAACACCTTGACCCACGACACTAATGCTGGGCACACTTGTTAGATACCGTCTCCAAGCTTAAGGCTACGCATCAGTTTGTTTATGATGAAATGTAATTTGACAAGATGGTCCAGTCTTCTGCATCGTCAGTTTATATTAAGACTTCATATTAATTTTTGACCGGAGACATATTTAGAGATGGCCCTGGAGATGTCATGGTCATTTTTACCATAAAAAAGCTATTTTTCAATGTAAAACGACACCTCTCCCAGCTTTTCTTGAAAGGTGAACATGACTCAGTCGACTCTCCGCGGGATGTTGGGCCTCATCCCTTAAAAGTTGTTGTGTTCCAACAATAACAAGTCTTAAAGTCTAAAGGTATCTTATACCCATAAATACAAACTATCGCTACACAAAAGTGGATTTGTAAAACACAAATCCAATTTGGCCAACAAATCGCCAATGCTTACAGAGATTTGACTTTTGTTTGAGAAACAAATTTTATTACAAACCTGAAGAACATTAGTATATATGCATGGTGGCCTCTGAAATCTACATGCTTAAATGCAATAACTGCCTTGAAAGTCATGACGTTACAATTTCTGGACTAATTGATCAAGTGTTTTAGTTTTGTGTTACATCTTAACAGTTATCGTTATTTTTTCAAATCCAAAATCTAAACTAGAACACTGACAGGTCAGTAAGGGCCCCGTCTTGTGGCAATATATCCCCCATAACCATCAAGAAGCAATCTGCCCATATAGCTGAGCTTGACGTTTGACATTTGGACTTCAAAAGAATCGCAAGGAAGCAAACTTATTACATTTTACATGTACTATGATGTGAGTCTTGTTTCCTTCCACCTCCATATCTGCTGGGCTAACAGAAATGTAAATACCGGTGCAATACTCATTTGTAAGCTTTGATTTGTTTTATTTCACCTTATATACCTCCTTCATTAAGAGCCAGGATCAAAGTCAGAAATCCACTTTGTCTTTGACCTTTGGACCCAAATGACCTTGACCATTAATCTAGTGACCCTGATCTTTGGTCAGTTGACTTATTCTTTAATTCCGACCAACCTTGCTTCATAATATCATAACAAAATGTTCATCAGTGAAAAATACAAACTTGACCTTGACCCTTTGGACCCCGTAACCAGGACCTAAGGTCAGTTGACTCTGTGTTAAGTTCTGAACAAGTTAGCTACATAATAACATAAAATTACCTTGACCTTAAGTCAGTTGACTCCTTTTTAAATTCGGACCAACTTTGCTTCATAATGTCATAACAAAATGTTCATCAGTGAAAAGATACAAAATTTGACCTTGACCTTCGACCCAGTGACCTTGCCCTTTGGTCAAATGACTCCTTGTTTAATTCCCACAAACATTGCTTCAAAGTGTCATAATGAAATGTTCACCAGCAAAAAAATACTAAATTTTACCTTGACCTTTGACCGAGTGACCTTGACCTTAAGTCAATTGACTCTTTGTTGAATTCCGACCAACTTTGCTTAATAAAGTCATAACAAAATGTTCATTAGGGAAAAGATATAAAATTAGACCGTGACCTTTGACCCAGTGACAGGCTTGACCTTTGGTCATTGACTCCTTGTTTAATTCTAACCAACATTGCTGAATAATGTCATAACAAAATTTAACCTTCACCTTTGACCCAGTGACCTTGACCTTTGGTCAATTGACTCCTTGTTTAATTCTGAACAACATTGCTTCAAAGTGTCATAACAAAATGTTCATCAGTGAAAAGATGCAAAATTTGTTCTTGACCTTTGAATCTAAGGCCTTGACCTTTGACCTCAACTTTTTACCTCAGTGTGTCTCTTTGTTTAATTCCGAACTTTGCTTCAAAATGTCATAAAATGCTCATTAGTGAAAAGCTACAAAATTTGACCTTGACCCCTCACCAGATGACCTTGACCTTTGGTCAGTTGACTCCTTGTTTAATTCTGAGCTACATTGCTTCAAAGTGTCATACCAAAATGTTCACCAGTGAAAAGATACAAAATTTAACCTTGACCTTTGACCCAATGACCTTGACATTTGGTCAGGTTGACTCCTTGTTTAATTCTGATCAACTTTGCTTCATCATGTCATAACAAAATGTTCATCAGTGAAAAGATGCAAAATTTGACCTTGACCTTTGAACCTAATGACATTAACCTTTGACCTTGACTTTTTACCTCAATGTGTATTTTTGTGAACTGAACATCTTGACCAAGTTTCATGTACATCGGTCAATAATTACTAAAGTTATCAGCCAGGAACAAAATTTGTGGACGGACAGACAGACAGACAGACAGAGTGATTACTATAGGGCACCCGTATCTCCGATACGGGCCCCTAATAACCAAATATGTTTGACTGTAAAACATAATTTGTAATACATGTTTCTCATAGATCTGCCCGTGGAACATTCACCTGCCAAAGTGGAAGGCGGACTCACCAGAATTTGACATGCGAAACTAATTGCATCAGTAAGCATGTCGGGCCCTGGTTTATTGTGACGATGACGCATGCACATGTACGTAAAAATGCACTTTTCACGTTCAGAAATTTCTCTTGTAGAATATTTATCTATGAAGAAACATTGCCCAACTCATATTACGTTTGTGACCAAAAAAATCCAAAAATATTTGGAGCATTTTATGAGCTGCACCGAGTGAGTGAGTGAGTCAACTATTGAAAATACTGCAGGCGTCGAGGGATCATTCAGACAAATCCATAAAGACAATGCAGAATACCTTATATAACATTTATTATATATACAAAATAAAACACTTTTTGATGGAAGATGATCATATTTTTACTATAGTAATTTTCTTTATTTTCCTTTATTTTTGCCTAAATTGAAACTTTCAAGTAATATATTTTTTCTTTATTTACCCCTATCTATTAATTTCCTTTTTGGAAATAGTTTAATACTGCATGATAAAAAAAGTTTTCAGATTTTAAAATAATGTAATAATTGAAATATTAATGATGTCTTCTTGTTGACAACGATATATTTCATTGATGTGGCGGAAGATCTCCATATTTACATGTTGTACAATTATCAGTATTTTCAATTTATACTCCTCTTCACACTTGTCAAAATAATGTAACTTAGTTTCATCCTCATGAGAAATATATCATTTTCAACAGCCAACCATTAATTCATCTTCGATATATACCGTATTCTAGCTTACTTCATAATATCAGCACCCCATTCCTTAAAACACCCCCTATTGTTTTCTTGTTCATCATCATTTACCAACATCCTTGAAAAATTGTCTACTACTAAATGATGTTTTTTATCTTTTTCTTGATAATTTTAGATGGTTTCATATTACCATACAATATTTTTCCGAATATGTCAGTATAATATGGGCCAACCAATCCAAAGAATGTGTCATCACTGCATCACAGTGCAGTGAGGGAATAAACCATTTACATATATATGATTATTATTATGACTAATACAGAGTTGATTATATAAATATACACCTTACATAATAGAAAATTTCTTAAATAGAAACTTTCAAATGAGTGTAATTCCCGACACAGTTTTTCACACCTTGTATGAAATACATGTACAGTCAATTCAGCCTAATCTGCTCAATAAGTCAAAAGTATAACATCTGTGTGAGTTAACTCATTCACCCCTGAAATTGCATAATGAAATATCCCAACCTTTGAATTGGAAGAGTTCAAATGTGTCTTCAGGGGTGAATGAGTAAGCTAGACAAAGTGCTCAAGGTGTTACCTACACACAGGCAGGTTAAAAAAAACGAGGTCACCATGATTCCCACAGCTGAAGGAAATGAACAAAATAAAAATATGCACAATTCCAGAAAAGTAATTAATTAAACAAACACCAACCATTTCTGAAAAATGTTAAAAAAAAAAAATGAAATTTATACAAATTTTCATGGCCCGATCCCATAACAGAGATTTCACATACCACTAAGCATATTAACAGCTAACTTAACAAGAGGCCCAGAGGGCCTGTATCGGTCACCTGGATAATAAAGCAAGCATGGGAAATTATTCTTATTACATAAAATTCCTCCAATGGTACAGATAAATAAACATTTTAAAGATATCAACATAAAATTCCCCTATTTGGCCCCATAACTCTGACTCAGCACCTAGAGGGGCCTCACCCTTCGTTTATACAAAATTGAGTCTCCTTGGCCCAAGGATGCTCCAGACAAAATTGGGATCAATTTCCTTAATTCCTATGGTAGAAGAAGGATTTTAAATGTTTACCTCTATTTCTCCTATTGGGCCCTCTGCCCTCTGCCCCCAGGTGCCACACACACTGCTTACCAAATAATTATACATACCAGAAAATTCTTCAATAATTATACCAATTTACTTTATAACACATTGTAGTTCATTTTCATCATATCTAGAAAACAAAACTCATCCCTATAGGAATGAACTGAGTGGACTTTCACATACATATTCATGATCACCTTCTAGATCTAATAAGCAAGCATAAATGAGTAATAACGGTCTATGAACATCTCATTCAAAGGTAGGGTGTTATACAATGTCGACACCTGTCTTTCAAAAACTTATCATAGTTGTTCATGCCAGGAATATCAACAGGTTAGAACAAAAGAGTCTGTGTGGTGTGTTAGTTGATTCCATTGTGAGTGATATCAGCACCAGCACAAACCTGAAAATATGGCATTGTCACGAAATTACGTGTGTTCTAGAAATACAGAGAAAAAAACATATTAACAGAAAGAAGCATACAAGCTGCTGAATATTGAATGTTGAGTGAATTGTCTCACCTTATCTTTATTTACTGGTGATTTGTAAATAAATTGAACTACAGCACTTGATGAAAAGTTCACCCTTGTAAAACTTGTTCCATAATCTTCAGACCTGTCAATGACAAAAAAGACACTGTTAAAAACAAAAAATAATAACAGTTTCACCTCATCGTATCTCTGGTCTCATTAGAATGTATAACAGGATATATATATATGCTTCTTTACTCTAACATGCCTATTTTTTTTTTTTTGACAAACTTAAATGCACATATTGTGAAATTTCCATTAAGGGGAATTCCCAGCATTCAAAAATGTATCTCCAACAAAGAAGAGTTCCAATTCTTGCTGGATTTTTTGCTCGTTTAAGTTTTGTATCAAAGTGTTATGGAAAGAAATATATTCATTTTGTCTTCATTTACAGAAAAATACATCTCCATGTACTATTGGGGTTGAACCCTAGACCTCAAGATTGTAAAGCAGAGAGCCGAGCTTATCCAGCTGCGGTACCGGTCATGATATTATCTGTTATACTTTTTGGAAACATCACTCAGAATAATTTCAAAATGTTTCAAATGCCTTAAAATTAAGGCCTGCAATATATAACTGTTTTAGTATAGTGTCCAATCTGTCCCAAAAACACTGTTTGAATAACAGACCCTGAAGACTTGCTTGAGTCAATATTATAGAGTAGGAAAATAATTATTATAGTGACCGATGGCCTGTCATCTATAAAAACAAGAGGCCCAATGCACCTGCATCGCTCACCTGGTATTAATCTCACAATTGTAATCTTAAAAGTGGACTAAAATACAGCTACAGGCAGAATATCAGTGTTTGATTCATAAGAACCTATTAAAAGATTTAAACATATGACGCCTGTGACCTTGAATGTCGAACAAGGACATTATAATATTAGGTTGAACAGAGTTTATAGTCTTCCAACCCAGCATGCTTCTGGCAAAATATCATTACCCTGGACCTTTTGGCTATACAGAACAAATCATTTAAAGATTTAAACATATATTGACCAGTGTGACCTTGAATAAGGGCGAAGGTCATTCACTTGGTAGTCATTCACCCAAACATGTTAATGGCCAAATATCATCACCCTTGGCCTTTTGCTTATTAAGAAGAAGTCATTCAATGGTTTTAAACATATTTGACCCCTGTGACCTTGAATATATATGTCAAGGTCAATCATTTGAACTTGGTAGTCCTTCATCCCAGCATGTTACTGGCATTATCCTAGGCCTCTTGGTTATTCAGAAGAATTTATTTGACCCCTTTGACATTGAACAAACATGAAGGTAATTCATTTGAACAAACTTTATAGTCCTTCATCCCAGCATATTACTGGCCAAATATCATCATCCTATGCCTCTTGGTTATTCATAAGAAGTTGTTTAAAGATTTTAACATATTTGACCCCTGTGACCTTGAATATAAATCAAGGTTATTTATTTAAACAAACTTTGTAGCCCTTCATCCCAGCATATGACTGGCCAAATATCATCATCCTATGCCTCTTGGTTATTTATAAGAAGTTGTTTAAAGATTTTAACATATTTGACCCCTGTGACCTTGAAAATGGAAGAAGGTAATTTATTTGAACAAACTTGGTAGCCCTTCATCCCAGCATGTTACTGGCCAAATATGATCACCCTAGGCCTCTTGCTTTTTCAGGAGAAGTTGTTTAAATGTTTTTAACATATTTGACCCCTGTGACCTTGAATATAAAGCAAGGTCATTTATTTGAACAAACTTGGTAGCCCTTCATCCCAGCACGTTACTGGCCAAATATCATCACCCTAGGCCTCTTGGTTATTCAGAAGAAGTTGTTTAAAGGTTTTACACATATTTGACCCCTGTGACCTTGAATATAAGTCAAGGTCATTTATTTGAACAAACTTGGTAGCCCTTCATCCAAACATGTTACTGAACAAATATCATCATCCTAGGCCTCTCGGTTATTCAGAAGAAGTTGTTTAAAGGTTTTAAACATATTTGACCCCTGTGACCTTGAAAATTGATGAAGGTCTTTTATTTGAACAAACTTGGTAGCCCTTCATTCAAGCATGCTTCTGGCCAAATATCATCACCCTGGGCTTTTTGGTTACTGAGAAGAAGTTGTTTAAAGTAAAAAGTTGACACCGGCCGGACGCCGGCCGGACGCCGGACGCTGCACCATGCCATAAGCTCACTTGGCCCTTAAGTCTTGTTTCATAGTGTTGTAAAATAAATAAAGTTTATTTCCAATCCATGTTATTATACTAATTATGTAACATTATATTTACAGCGACATTTTAGGACGCCGTACAAGATTTCTGTAATATGTATACATTTATACCCGTCACAATACTGGCAACATGTGCAGTCCTAGCAATCTTCTACCCGTCACAATACTGGCAACATGTGCAGTCCTATCAATCTTCTGCTGTCAGGGAGATATTGTTGGTCGGTATAAAACACTGTATCAGATCCTTACAACACTGTGGTATCACCCACCACCCACTGACGTGACATGTAATTGCACAGCTTACATGGATTCCAACATTCACCTAACAGCATCGGTCCATTTTTCTCATATGCAGATCTTACTACATTAATTTATCAAATATAATCAGCTATCTGATAAAACGGCAGAGGTGATAACATGTTTACAATAATATGTAATACTGAATGTTTATATATACATATATCTTAATGCATGCTGGGTAGAGTCTAAATGTTTCAAATTGTTTACAAACCTGAAATTCCATTTATTGTAACGTTAGACTTGGTAACATTCTCTACTAAGTTGTGGAAAATTTCAAGTAATTAATGCCTGCTGCTCTTTACATTTCCTTAACTTTGAGATTACCAATAGCATAATTATAGTTAATGCTAATTTCATCAATAATTCGGCTAATCCGAAACTTAAGAATATTTATAATACATGTTTAGTCATAATTTAAACCTCGGTTATCAAACCTCAGACGACTAAACTTGAATTTATTTGTTTGTATGCATGCAGACACTAAATTTGGGGGGGGGGGTTGCGACGCTTTAATTATTTGTTCAGTTTTTGACAATATTGTTATTTTGGGTTAAATTTTGTGCAGACACTATCACTGTTTGTAAGTTTATTTGCAGACAATGAATTCTTTTCAGGCACTGTTGCAATTGTATATTTATTAGACATCTCTCGAGGCTGATACAAAGATTTTTCAACCTTTAAGGGAGATTTTTTTTATATAATCCTTTGAAGGTTGATAAATCATTGCAGCAACCTCAACAGAGGGTAATATTATTAATTGTTTTATCATTTTACTGAACAATATCCACAAGATGAAATTTGAAACTCTGAAACTCTAATTAATGTTTCTGTGAGGTATTGCTAAGACTGAATTTCCACCTGAAGATGAAGACAATGTAAATGTTTATCTGCAAACAATTGTGTTATTACTATCTGTTTTCAGACATTATACCTGCTGGTAATTGTTTGTTAACACTGATCAACGATAAACATACATGGCTGTACGTTTATATAATTTACCCACATGGTATAAACGGTATATATCCTGGTACACTTACTATATCTAGTCCAAAATTACTTACAAATGTCACTTTGAAGACAGGGTCCTCCTTATGATACATGTATTCATAAATATAAGCTCATATATAGAAAAGTGTCCACAAGCTACTATAAATAGCTCCTTTCCTCTGCTTATGATGTACGGTGCATTTATAAGCTCATGAAGAAAAGTTGTCACATACCTTACACAAATAGCTCAAATGTATAAAAAGAACTATAAAGAAGACTTTTGAAAAGGATATTTTTTTCAGTTCAAAAGCACCACATATAATAATATTTTTCATATTTACTCCACGCTACCATGAATGTATTTACAAGTGCCGTCAAAATTTCTTTCAGTGGTTATAAGCAAATTACTGCAAGTTACCTAAAAATTACTTACTGGGTGAATGGAGAAAGTATGTTAATGAGTTATCTGCTCTTGTGAAAAGGTATTGATTGTTACGTCATTAGTTTGTGTGAAAAAATGACGTAATGACAGTACTCTCACAAACAAATGACGTAACAATCAATACCTGCTCACAAGAGCAATACAACTCTGCAATACAAAAAGACGGAATATACCTTCCTTAACAAGGTAAAGTATTATAGGAGCAGTCAATAGATCTACCAATCAAAGGATGCATTCATTAAGGAAATATTATTTAGAATTTACAACCAATAAGAAAAACAACCTGAAATACCTACCAGTAAGTATAACAAGTTATTGAATGTGCCCCAGACATACTTTAGTGTTAAACAAAGGGCCATAACTCTGTAAATTGTGTTGTATGAGACTTAATTTCAGTATCCAACATGTACACTCTGAACTATGTTGATGCTTTTTTAATTGTGTTTCTCTCATCTTTATTATTTTAATTTAAGTTCTGCAAGGCTATTTTTAAAGAAATTATTTTTGCAAGCTCTAGTTAAGCCAGGAAAAAAAGTTTTCAATTCATAGTTACAATTTTCAGCTCTGGTATGAGGATCCTTTAATAAACTACAGAATTAGACAGTATTTGTCCCATGACACTTTATTTCCTTATACTTGGATTTTAACGAAAGATTTTGAATTCCCTTGCTGATTATTCCATATTTGCTTCAATGACTTCACAACCTAATCTGATGGTAGGTATATATTAATGGTAGTACAGGCCTGTATACATAAGAAATAATTATGAAGGGTCACACCAATGCACTTTAAGTTCCAGATGAGAAAGATCCCAGGGAATTTATTTTTGTATCTAATCTGGGGGGTCATTAGAACAGCACAGTACACTATCAATAAATGGGAGGAGCTAGGTTACTAGGCCAGGTCGTTAACACTAGGTCCCGCAGGGCACTGTAGATCTAGAGTCACTATCTGACTAAAGGATTTCCACTGTAGTACTATATAGCTATGCTCTAACTTTGATCTTTAAATCTATAGAAGTATCGCTCATGCATGTACATTAAATATAGAAACATAGTGCAGTTTTGAGTCCAGTCGAAAGTCAGCTATTTTATTTGAATAAGCCCCAAAGATATTTAAGATGTTTTATTTACATATATGCACATGTGAATTGTTGAAAATTAAAAAAAAATTGTAACGTTTATTCTTACCTCCAAAGAGTTGAGTCTTCAACAAAACCATAAAGATGTGTGTCTCGTGTCAGTAAAAACACAACCTGCAAAACAGAACAAGATCTGTCAATAAAACCAATCAATCTCTCAATCAGCAGTTGAAGTGAGTGGCATGAAATGAGTTAAATTGTGGATGTGTCATAAAAAATACAAAAACAAAATAAATAGTGATACATGTACTACTGTTTGTTCAGTGCTCAAGATGTTTTAGTAGGTAAATTTTCTAGTCTGGTCAGCTGTATAAATGTGTACTTAAGACTAATGGGAACATGTATGTCAATTGTCATGATGATCTCCGTAGTAATTCCTGGGAAATACTTCACTCATGGTAACCAACTTCACATCCAAAATCCAAGATGGCTGCCTGGTAGCCATTTTGGTTTTTTTATCCATTTTACATTGGAGTATGGAATTGACCGAGGGCATCATGCACATATCATGTTCCTTAAAGTGATTTCTCTGAAAAAGTGCTAACAAAATCTGTTTAAAGACAAACAGACTGACTGATTGATTGATGGAAGGACTATGGACAATGGAAGAAAAGCAATTTGAACAGCCCACCATGGCCATCTGATGATTACATAAAAATGTCAATCACATATGTTCACAAACATTCTGTAGTTACACAATGTTACACAGAATGTACCATCTATATTAACATCATTTATCGTAGTCTCTCTGGTAAGTGCCTTGGCCATTCTTTGATATACATTAGCAATCTTGATACGTAAAATTGCAGAACCTTATAAGTTCTGTAAAATATCCATGATTAAAACCATTCTTCAAAAAAGTTTGGTTCGTAAATTATGGTGATGAGAGGAGACCCATGCTCCAGATAATAGCTTAGCGCTAGGGATGTACATACAATTGGATGAGCTCTTATTGTGTCCAATACGGTAGGTACCATTGTTTCATAAACATATTTGTTTATCTCATATTTAGCTGACAAAGGTTACGATATTAATGGTATGGTAACATGAGTGGGTGCCTTCAAGTTCCCAGGTCAAACAACAGCGTAATTTCATAGGTAATTGTTTCAGTGAATTTTACAGGTTTTCAGCAGCCAGCACTGTACATACTAAAGTAGAAGAGGCAATATATTATAAGCATAATTTTTTACACCAAAAAATGGTTAATTGATTTGATATTTAATGAGTATCTAAAGCTTTAGTGACCTGTAGGTTGTATAACAGCAATTGTTTGTGAAATATGTGCTATAAAAACTTTTTTTTGTGCCAAATTTAATTTTTAGTTGACATTACGTTACTAAATAACATTCATTTTTAGATATTTGATGTTGATATATTTAAGGTTACCAAAAACCTGTATTATTTGATACATTTATATCTAACAAATATTTAACACACATATTTATGTGAATAAAGTTCCACGAACACAATGTACATACATGTACATGTAAATGATATACTGTTTTAAATGGAACAAGGCTAGACTCATTGATACTTAGCCAATTAAGACCTCTCACAAAAGTCTATTGAAGTGTTTTTTGTATATATATTATTTTATGTATTCCTTGACCCATATTGTAACAAAATTAATCTGGAATTAAAATATTTTGAAATTGTGGATTTCTGCCAAACACTTTAGGAATTTCCTTACTCAATGCTGTCACAGGGACAATTAATGTTGTTGTTGTATGGTCATTTCCGGCAACACTGATTTTTGGTGTTTTTAAAGCAGATCAACACCTCAAATCTATGTATATGTTTACATGATATTACAATTACCTGTATATAAATAAATATATATTTTTCTGTTACTAGAAAATATCAGGTTTTTCTCACCTGTTATTGTTCATTTGATATTGTAAAAGATTATCTTAGTGTGGGCCAGCCTATTCTGGAAAAATGTCAAAAACAGAGGGAGGGCTTATCCATAGTGAAATACGGTAGTTATAACTGGACTTGTTTATATAAATAAATAGATGAAAATAAATATATTACAATTACAATAAAACCTGTTCATGTGACCACCTCTATAAGGAGACCATCTGTGGTAAGAGACCACCCATATTAAGAGACCATCTGTGGTAAGAGACCACCCATGTTAAGAGACCATCTGTGGTAAGAGACCAATTTAAATGCTTTCCATTTTAGTGATTTCATTGTGAATTGAACCTGTATAAAGAGACCACCTGTGTTAAGAGACCATCTGTGGTAAGATACCACCCATGTTAAGAGACCATCTGTGGTAAGAGACCAATTTAAATGCTTTCCATTTTAGTGATTTCATTGTGAATTGAACCTGTATAAAGAGACCACATGTGTTAAGAGACCACCTGTGGTAAGATACCACCCATGTTAAGAGACCATCTGTGGTAAGAGACCAATTTAAATGCTTTCCATTTTAGTGATTTCATTGTGAATTGAACCTGTATAAAGAGACCACATGTATTAACAGACCACATGTATTAAGAGACCACATGTATTAACAGACTACATGTATTAAGAGACCACATGTATTAACAGACCACATGTATTAAGAGACCACATGTATTAACAGACCACATGTATTAACAGACTACTTTAAATGCTTTCCATTGTAGAGAGTCTTTGTCATTTGCACCTGTATTAAGAGACCATTTTACATTGCCCTGTTGAAATGATTTTATTGTGAACTAAACCTGTTTTCTAAGGAGACCATCTGTATTAAGAGACCACTTTTTGAGGTGGTCTGGTATTACGGGTATGACCACAGGGGCTAGCAACGATTTATATGGGATAAGAATAAAAATAGCGAGAAAAATTACGTAACTGTTGTATTTTTTCTAGCTATTTTTATTCTTATCCCATATAAATCATCGCTAGCCCCTGTGGTCTGACTGTAATGTTATATTTTACATTCAAATAAATGTATGAGACTTGTTTTTTCTTAAGTACAATTCTGTTTGACATGCACATTTATATCAGTATAGTAGAAGGAAATGAAAACAACATAATTACCTTTTACATTAAGTGTGTAAAGTGAAGGACAGTACTAATGGAATGTTTGTGTAAGGTAGGACACACAATAGAATCAGTGGTGTTAGGTAGGACACACAGTAGAATCAGTGGTGTTAGGTAGGACACACAATAGAATCAGTGGTGTTAGGTAGGACACACAATAGAATCAGTGGTGTAAGGTAGGACACACAATAGAATCAGTGGTGTAAGGTAGGACACACAATAGAATCAGTGGTATAAGGTAGGACACATATTAGAATCAGTTGTGTAAGGTAGGACACACAATAGAATCAGTAGTGTAAGGTAGGACACACAATAGAATCAGTAGTATAAGGTAGGACACAAAATAGAATCAGTAGTGTAAGGTAGGACACACAATAGAATCAGTGGTATAAGGTAGGACACACAATAGAATCAGTGGTGTTAGGTAGGACACACAATAGAATCAGTTGTGAAAGGGGTCACATCTTATCTCCATAGCCAGGGGAAAGCCTAGTGGCCCTTAAATGGTCAACATCCTTTTTTACCTGTCTCCCTTGTTCGTTACTGCCTAACCATTGGTTGTCTAGCTCTTATGTCCCTAAATGGCCTTAATGTGTCAATCAAAGCAATTAAACCATAAATAAGCATGTAGTTTAATATAAATAATGCCGTTTCCAAGATGACAAAAATAAACTAATGCTGGGCAGACAATTATTATGTGCAAGGTATTTCTTTCTCCTTGAGATGCTTGTTGTTTAAACGACAATAATAAATTGCACTGGTCTGTGGCCGATCCCTGAACTTAAAGTGTTAAGGTGGTATACTGGACAAATTCCAAGATCATATATAATGCTATTAATTCAACTCTTATGTCATGCATAACAAATAATTGTGGCGGACTTAAATATGCTATTTACATTTTGTTCTGCTGTATACGCAAGATACAACCTGGCAATAAGGAAGGCAACAAACAACAACATCATTTCACCACAGGGGAACAAAACATCAATTGAATAAAAGTAGACAAACTATCAACTCAACAGAAGGTAACACAATTTCAACTCAACAAAGCAGAACACAGTATCAAATCAACAAACAACATCAATTCGACATAAAGGGACACAATACCAATCCAACACATGGGGGACACAATATCAACTCAACATAAGGGGGACACAATATCAACTCAACATAAGGGGACACAATATCAATCCAACACATGGGGGACACAATATCAACTCAACATAAGGGGACACAATATCAATCCAACACATGGGGGACACAATATCAACTCAACATAAGGGGACACAATATCAATCCAACACATGGGGGACACAATATCAACTCAACATAAGGGGACACAATATCAATCCAACACATGGGGGACACAATATCAACTCAACATAAGGGGACACAATATCAATCCAACACATGGGGGACACAATATCAACTCAACATAAGGGGACACAATATCAATCCAACACATGGGGGACACAATATCAACTCAACATAAGGGGACACAATATCAATCCAACACATGGGGGACACAATATCAACTCAACATAAGGGGACACAATATCAATCCAACACATGGGGGACACAATATCAACTCAACATAAGGGGACACAATATCAATCCAACACATGGGGGACACAATATCAACTCAACATAAGGGGACACAATATCAATCCAACACATGGGGGACACAATATCAACTCAACATAAGGGGACACAATATCAATCCAACACATGGGGGACACAATATCAACTCAACATAAGGGGACACAATATCAATCCAACACATGGGGGACACAATATCAACTCAACATAAGGGGACACAATATCAATCCAACACATGGGGGACACAATATCAACTCAACATAAGGGGACACAATATCAATCCAACACATGGGGGACACAATATCAACTCAACATAAGGGGACACAATATCAATCCAACACATGGGGGACACAATATCAACTCAACATAAGGGGACACAATATCAATCCAACACATGGGGGACACAATATCAACTCAACATAAGGGGACACAATATCAATCCAACACATGGGGGACACAATATCAACTCAACATAAGGG